CAATAAATCAAAAACTTAGCGGGGCATGGTAGCACGCCCCTGTAGTTCCAGCTACTTGGAAGTCTGAGGCAGAAGGATCGCGGGAGCCCAGCGGGTTGAGGCTGCTGTGACCGGGAGCGACCACTGCACTCCGGTCAGGGTGACAGAGTGAGACTCCCAGTCAAAAAAAAAAAAGAATTTCAATAGGTAAGGCTGGAGGATGGGGGTTTGCTTGTTGAAGGTAGTTAATAGTTATTTATGACCTAGAAAGGAGAAGAGAGATTGGGGGGGATTGGGGGGGGATAGGACTGGCGATCCCCATGGGGTGGAGGAACAAGTGGAAGGAGAATAAGTAATAAGTAAGGAGGAGGATAGGTGTAATGGGATTTGGAAGATTGGGATTTTTTTTTTGATGTTGAGAAAGAAAAGTTTATTTAAAAGTAAATAAGAGAGGGAGAAGGGAGAAGGGAGAGAGAGGATTCATCTCCCCAAGGTGGGGGAGGGGGCCAAAGCCAGAAAGCATGGCAACTGCCATAGCTCAAAGAGCATGTGACATACTAAGGTAATGGCCCAAGATTAGGATTTCTTTTCTTTTTTTGAGTTGGAGCCTCACTCAGTTGCCCAGACTGGAGTGCAGTGGCCACTCCCGGCCACTGCAGCCTGCGATCCTTCCACCTCAGCCTTCCAAGTAGCTGGAACTACAGGTGCGCACTATCACGCCCAGCTAATTTTTTTGATTTATTGTAGATATGAGGTCTCGCTAAGTTGCCCAGGCGGGTCTCGAACCCATGGGCTCAGGCAATCCACTCACCTCGGCCTCCCAAAGCGCGGGATTACAGGCTGAGCCACCGAGCCCGGCAATTAATTTTTTAGCAGCAGGTTTTTGATTACTGATTTAATCTCTCTTCTTGTTATAGGTCTACTCAGATTTTCCATTTCTTCTTGAGTCAGTTATGATTGGTATTCATGACTACTTAAGGTTCAAAAATACTTTTCTAAAAAAGAAAGTGTACACACACACACACACACAGACACACACACACACACACACACACACACACACACACAGCGTCAGATCTCACAGGTGGAGGTTGTGAGCTAGGAGGTGGAGCTCAGTGAGCCATGACTGTGTCACTGCACTCCAGCCTGGGCAACACAGGAAGACCCCATCTCTAAAAAATAATAATAATACATGTTTAAAAATACGTTTATTACTTTGGCAATTCCAAAGATTTTAGAAGTTGTCAGCCAAGAAATGGAGACAAAGACCAAACATATATGTCACCATGCTGCCCAGTATGACTTCTCTTTGGGCTGCACCAGAGCCGTCTGGCGACTCCAGAGACCCTCGTGTGTGCTCTGCCTGCCCCTGGGCATGTCTTTTCTCCCAGACCCCTTGGAGGTGGCTGCAGAAGGGTCCAAACATAACCAACTCCCCCAGGCTCAGGCTGGCCCTGCCCCAGACTCCAACCCCTCCCTCTGGGGTCAGGGCTTTGTTTTCTTCTAAAGACCCAAGATTTCCAAACGCTGTGGTTGCCTTGCCTAGCTGAAAGGGGAAGAAGGGGACCAGCCCAGGGAGGAGGAAGAGGAAAACAAGACACACAACCAGGGCGGCAGAGAGGAGTGCGTCCAGCGTGCCTTCCCCGCAGAACTCATGGCAGGAGCTTGGGGTCCGGCCACCCTTGGCCCTGCACTGGCCTGCCGCGTCCCCACTGAGGCCATGGGTCCCGGGTTTCTGCTACTCCTGCTGGAGGCCACAGCTTGGCATGGTAAGAGCAGATGGGGCATTGGGGGTCTTTGGTGGGAGCAGGGGGGAGAAGACCCGGGAGAGGACTCTGCAAGCCCTGGCCCTCCTTGGGTGTCCCCACCCTGTGTCCATCTCCCCAGCACTGGGCTCCGGGTTTGTGGGAATCACTCTGGAGGGGCAGGGAGGGAAGGAGTGTGTGGATGGAGCCAGACTAGCCCGGCCAGGGCGGCGGACCACCCCAGCCTAGGCGTCCACTTGTGGTGTGTCCCGAGCAAGCCCCTGGTACCCAGGATAGTGCTTTCCACGTGTGCTGGGGGGACTTTGCAGATTCTGACTCAAGAGGCCTTAGGTGCAGCCTGAGATCCTGCAGTTCCAACAAACTTCAGGAGGTGGGAGAGGTCCATGCTACCGGTCCAGACCCGCCCTGAGCAGGGGGACCCTTGGGACCCTGTGAGGGCTTTGCCAGCCCTGCCAACCTGTGACTCGATGGCTCTAGGCAGACCCCGACTCAGGAAAGCCTGAGGGGCAGCGGTCCTTCCCTGGGAGGCTTGGGGAACGGAGTGGGAGGGAGAGGCAAGAGGTTGGCCTCTCTGGCCCAGGACTCAAGAGAGGGGAACTAGAGAGAGAGGTATAGGGCTAAGGAGGGTCTCCCCAACCAAAGCTGTCTCAGACACAGGCTGAGGGGCTCGGGGGGGGGGGGCCCAGGCAGCAACAGTTGCTGCACTTCCATCTAGGAGGGGCTTGACAAGGCAAGGGGTGGGTGTGCTTGGCTTATGGACCCAGCAAACACGTTTCTATTCTGTGGCCTGCTCATTTGGAGGGGCCTGGGGGAGGATGGGGATTGGTGGAGAGGAGGCAGCCTCACTCTGGCCTCTCTGCACAGGGAACCCTGGGGAACTGATGCACTTGATCCCTGATGAAGAGGTGGCCCGTGGAAGGTCTTTTGCTGGCCCCGCTAGCCCCATTGGGCTTGAGCGTTTGTTCTTTTTTTATTGAGACATAACTTGTTGGGCCGGGTGTGGTGGCTCATGCCTGTAATCCCAGCAGTTTGGGAGGCTGAGCTGGGCAGATTGCTTGAGCCCAGGAGTTTGAGCCATAACTTGCATACACTAGAAAGCACAGGTTCTTCAGGCCAGTGAGGTTTGAAAACGCACCTGTGATGTACCCACCACCCCAATTCAGATGGAGGCTATCTTCCTCACCCCGGATAGTCCTGTGAGTTTGATGTCACTGCCTTGTCCTGTCCTCCCTGCCTGGGGGCTTTGTGGGTCGGGGACAGGGGAGAGTTGTCCAGTGTCCAGCCCCAAGGGAGAAAGAGATGGGGGAAGCCTGAGCTTTCTGCTCAACAGGCCGAGCAAGTGAATGCAGGGCCTGCGATGGCTCGGGACGGGGGGGAACACCTGGGGACGGGGCTCACCGCTCCCCGTCAAGCAGCGAAATCCTGGCGAGGAGGGGCTGCGACCCAGGCCTTGGTGTGCTTGTGTTGGGAGAGAAGAGTAGAGACTGGGTACACCCGGGAGCTGGTGACCAAGGGGCTGTCAGGCAAGAGGGGGGTGGGGAGGGGTGGGCATGGGGGAACTGGGTGCTGAGCTGGAGGCAGAGAAGGCACAGGCTTCGGTGGGAGCTCCTCCAGCCATGCCCCCACCCCCAATTTCTCCCCAGGAGGACAGCCTAGCAGGCTTCCTTCCTGCCAGTCAGGCCGGCAGGGGGAAGTTGGCGGCAGAAGCTGAGGATGTCAGCCCTCTCCTGCATGAATAGCTGGGACAGTAGGATAGGGCAGAACAGAACAGATGCCTCTCTCTGACCGCACTTCCTAGAGGCTGAGGCAGGGGCTAGAGGACAGGCGAGAAGTTGTGAGGGGGAGGGAGGCGGGTGCAAAAAAGGAACCCAGCGGGCATCACAGAGTCCATGGCATGGCCTGCGAGCTTTATTTTATTTTATTGTTTTTACTTTATTTTATTTTTTAAGAGATAGGGTCTTGCTCTGTCACATAGACAGTGATGTGATCAAGGCTCACTGCAGCCTCAAACTCCTGGGCTCAAGAGAGCCTCCTACCTCAGCCTCCCAAGTAGCTGGTACTACAGGCCCGCCACCACACCCTGCTAATTTTTAAATTTTCTATAGAGATAGGGGTCTCGCTATGTTGCCCAGGCTGGTCTTAAACTCTTGGGCTCGAGTGATCCTCCTGCCTGAGTCTCCCAAAGTGCTGGGATTACAGGTGTGAGGCACCAGACCCAAGAAATCTGTGATTTTTTTTTTTTTAATCTGTGACTTTTAAAGGTTGAAATCTTGAGATATCAGAGTATCCGGCCCAGATGGGGCATTAGAAATGTGATAAGTGATGCAGGAGCCTGAGATGGGAGCAATTCTGCCCATCCTTGACCTGAATCTCCAGCAGCCTTCCTGGGGCTAGATCTGGAACCACTTCTGTCAGACAGAACAGCGGCCTGAAGCTCAGAGAGGTCCAGCAGCTGCCCAGCTACCAAGGGCAGAACCAATTTCAGATCCTGGTGTTGTGAGCCCACCTTCCACGCTGTTTTCTACCATCAGACCCTGGCCCGGGGGCCCTGACTGGCTGCAGCAGTGACGAGGCGACACAGCCTACGAGATTTGCTGGAAGGCTGCTGGAAGTGCCATGTGTCCCTCTTCCTGGTGGCTGCACTTGTGGGAGGGCTGCAGCTCCAGACATTGGCCTGAGCATTGGTCACACTCCACTCAGTCCCTTCTGTGGTGGGAGCACATTTTTGATGGGACCGTCAACCATCCCTGCAAGCACCTGGGAGAGGAGCCCTTTCCAGCTCTGGGCTCTGTGTAGGGGGAGGGGAGGCGGCAATCCCCATTTGGGGAGGGTCTGTGGAGGGCACAGAGAAGCTCTGAATTCACCTGGAATGCCAGGAACAGGAGGGGCAGGAGCGGAGAGTCACCCAGCATCTGTGGCAGAGCCTGGTTTGTACCCGGGGCCCAGCGGGTAGCACGGCCTCCCCGGGCCCACTGCTTGGATGGACAACACAGGAGACAGGAAGCAGAAGTGAGAGCCTCCCCATGGAAGGGCCCAGGCTGAGCGGAAACTGACCAAGGCTGGCCAGCGGAGCATTCTGCTCCAGGCCAGGGGCGCACGACCCCCTGAGGAGGCAGGCCGCTCTCACTTCCCCCCTCTGCCCCTATTTTAGGTCCTGGAAAGTGCTGACACTGCAGAGGCAACAAGCCTTCTTCCCGGAGGGCCTGGCAGGGGTTTCAAGTTCTGCTTTCTCCTTCAAGAAAATTTTCCTTAAAAGTGTGGCCTCCTGGTAAACACAGATATGCAGGTGCCAGGCGAGCTGCGGGGTAGACAAGACAATGACAGAACTGCTCACCCGCACTGAGCATGTGTTGGTGACAGGGGGTGTTCTCATGACGTCCTGTGCATTGAAACTGGCAGACATACCCACAAGTGGGTACAATGATTGTCTCCATGATATGGGTGGGAAACTGAGGCACCACACCTCTGAACCATTGCACTGTGCTACAGACCAGGTGCCCGTAGTGGGAGTGCGCCCGGCAGGAGACACTTGGCACCTGTCTCACCCTGCTGGACTGAGGTCCTTCCTCCTTTGTCTTCTTTCCCACATGAATTAAGTCAGAGGACGTGGCGGTGAACCTGCCATTAATCTGTTTCTTCCTTTGTTTGCCTGAGCCCTGCTCTGAGTCAGGCCAAGGACTCAGTGCTGGGGACACAACCCTCATTCACACAAGGTTGAAGGAATCCACTTCTGGGGAGAAGAATGATGTCATCACAGAAGGGAAACTGAGGCAGGGGGCTGGGGCCCCCTGTGGGAGGCCGGACACTCCTAGCCCCTTTCTCAGGGGAGGGACCTCCTGGACATCAGAGAGGTTGGTCCATCCCCTACAGGTTGGAGGTTGGGAGCTGAGCCAATGACTCAGGGGCAAGGGCTTGTTCAAGGTGACCCTGGCACCAGGACCACCCCTGCAAGGGTGCCCCATCTCAGAATATGTCCTGGGCCTCACTTCTGTCTGCCACCCCTCCCCCCAGCAGGTCAAGGGATCCCAGTGATAGAGCCCAGTGGCCCCGAGCTGGTAGTGGAGCCAGGCGCGACGGTGACCCTGCGCTGTATGGGCAACAGCAGCGTGGAATGGGATGGCCCCCTCACCCCCTTCTGGACCCTGGACCCTGACGCCCCCAGCAGCATCCTGACCACACACAACGCCACCTTCAAAAACACGGGGACCTACCACTGTAGGGAGCCTGGAGACCCCCTGGGGGGCAGCGCCAGCATCCACCTCTACGTCAAAGGTAAAGACTCTGCCCCCCTCCCAGGAGGCCTGGCCCGAAGACCCACGATGGTGGGTGGGAGGGCCAGGTCCCAAATGATCAGTTCCAGCAACCACCTGTGCCATCCCTGGCGTGAGCCGGGGACAAGAACCATGGCGGCACCTCCCATGACACGGTTCTCACAGTAACCCTGAGAGCGGGGTTCTGTGTCTGTGCCCATTTCCCAGAGGCTCAAAGGGGCGGCCCAAAGCCACGCAGCCCATGTGGTGGGACTGGAGTGGGCTCCGTGCATCTGTACTGCCCAGGGATGGTGTGGCCTTGGCTAGCAGCCCACCTCTCCAGGCCTCCCAAGCTACCCATGCCCAGGCGCCCTGGCCCGGCAGAGGGAGGGCACCTGTAACCCATGCCCCCTCCACCCAGACCCCACCCGGCCCTGGAACGTGCTCACGCAGGAGGTGACCGTCTTCGAGGACCAGGATGCACTGCTCCCCTGCCTGCTGACCGACCCGGCACTGAAGGCGGGTATTTCGCTGGCACGGCTGCGAGGCCGGCCCCCGCTGCGCCAGACCAACTACTCCTTCTCGCCCTGGCATGGCTTCACCATCCACAAGGCCAAGTACATCGAGAGCCACTACTACCAGTGCAGTGTCCTGGTGGACGGCACGAGGGTGACATCTGCCAGCATCCAGCTCAAAGTGAAGAAGGGTGCGTGGGCGGGGACCTACCGTGTCTGGGAGACACAGCCTGATGGGAGGCAGCGATGTCCTCATCTTCACGTCCTCCCTCCAGCCGTCCCCCATCCTCTGTGGGGAGGGTGTCGGGTGGGAGACAGACCCCATGCAGGAAGTAGCCCGTGGGTGAGGACGCCTCAGGTCACTAGACACTCTGATAAAACACTGAACAATGTCATTGCACAGAGCGAGGGAGTAGGGGTCTCACGGAGGAGGAAACGCTTACTGGGCTGAATGTGACGCTGCAGAGGGGGCCGTCACACACCTGCTTCCACAGAGGAGCAGCACATCCCAGGGGCATGGTGGAAACCGGCAGGCTCCCACACCTCCCACCTCGATGTCCCCTTGGGGAAACCTAGGGCCAGGCACTGGGCGCGGAAGGGGGTGGCTGCCAGGAGGAGGCAGGAGGGCAGACACAGGGGCTCTTACCAGGACTGGGCGTGGGAGTGGTGGGGTCTCACCTGCTGGGGAGAGCACTGGAGAGCACTGGAGAGCAGGGCCCAGGCTGAGGGCTGGACCCAAGACCAGACTCAGTCCCTGTAATGAAAGCCAGGGTCCAAGCAGAGCGACTAGCCCAGCGCCCCTGGGATCTGAGGCCACTAGCCCTGCCTAGGAGGCCCAGACACCCTAGATGCCACAGAGGAGGCCATTAGGGCTCTTTCCTGGCCCTTCCTCCTGCACAGTCCTGGGCTGACCAAGAGCCCCATGTCCCAGGCCCTGGACCTCGGGTGAGTCGTTTGATGTTTCTGGGCCTGGGGAAACTGGATTCGATCTCCTTTCCACAAGAGCAGCAGGCACAGACATGAGTTCAGGTGCTTGCTGGTGGCTGGGATGGTGCCTCCATGGCTTTGACCATCCGCTGGAGAGTCAGACTAGAAAGAAAGGGAATACAAGCTGCCATGGGTGAGAAGCCAAGTGAGAAGGTAAGGGACAGGGCTGGGGAGGCTCATGCAGCCCCGCTGGTCACGAAAGTCCTCTCTGAGGAAGAGAACAGCCCCCCATCCAAGCCTGGGAGGAAAAGCATCCAGGAGAGAGCACAGGTGCAAAGGCCCTGGGGCAAGAGAGAGGGCCAGTAGGGCTGCAGCGAGAGAGCCGAGTGTGGAGTCAGGGTGGCCAGAAGGCGTCGGGGCTGCGGAGAGGCCTTTGGATTTTGCTCTGAGTGACAGAGGTCTCTGGAGAGAGGCCTGGTTCCGTTTATGCTTTTCGGAGATCACTGGCTGCTGTGAGGAATCCTGATGTAGCGATCAGAGAGGAGGCAGAGAGGCCTTCAAAGGGGCTGGTGCAGGTGTCTGGGGTAGAGAGGTGGCAGAACTGGGGAGGGCATGGAGCAATGGAGAAAGTGGGTTTCTCAGGGTCTCTCTAGGAGCCAGGGTTCGCTGCAGGGGCAGTCAAGGCTGCTTCCCAGGTTGTAGGGCACAAAGCGGTGGGGACCTCGGCCTGTAGCCAGGTGTTCAGGGGTCTCTCCCGGCCTCAGTCCTCCCAGGGCCCCCGGCCTTGACCCTGGAGCCTACAGAGCTGGTGCACATCCTCGGCGAGAAGGCCACGATCGTGTGCTCAGCCCGTGACTTGGACGTTGACTTTGATGTCTTCCTCTGGCACAACAACACCAAGGTCAGTCCCTGGGGACAGCAAGGTGAGGGCTGCCCATCCCCCTGCATTCCAGGTCCCACGGGGAGGACCACCAGCCCCACTCCAAACTGGCTGTCCAGGCTAAGGGCACAGCCCAAGCCCAGAGAGGGAGTGGACACACCGGGATTTCCAGCCAGGCAGGAACCAGGCTCAGGCTGCTGGGCCTGGGGGCGTGGGGGAGGGGGGGACTCTATTTGCTCTACCCGTGACCTTTGCCCCCACCTATAGACATGAGCCAGATGTGCACTCACTTCTCTTTTTTTAAATTTTTATTATAAAGATGTGGGGTACATTTCAGGGTTAGGTATACAAACATTGGTCATGCAGATACCCTTGTTGACGAGGTATGCTCCTCCCTCCTCTAGCAGTTCTGATTTAGCCAAGGACTCCCGGCCATCTTCAATGCCCAGGACTACCAGGGCTGTTTCAGAAAGACTTCGGAGAGAGGGAAGAGGAGGGAGCATTCCCTCCCGCTGTGTCTACTCGGTGCCAGGCACAGCTCTAAGCCCCTGACCTGCATATCTCATTGACTCCTCACCACAGCCTAGGGGCAGGGAGCCAGTGTTAGTCCCATTTACAGATGAAGAAACTGAGGCTCCAAGGGCAGTCCCTTGCCCGAGGACAGGCATATAGGAATTCTTCAAGGCTGAGGCTTGGATCTGGCGTCTCTCCAACTCCTAAACAACCTTGGCATCCTATCTCCATGTCTTCTGGCCGTAGCTCCTCGTCAGCCAGTTCTCCGACTATCATGACAGCCGTTACCAAAAAACACTGACCCTCACCCTGGATAAAGTCGACTTCCAGCACGCTGGCAACTATTCCTGCAAGGCCACCAATGCCCTAGGCAGTCACTCCACCTCCATGGTCTTCCGGGTGGTCGGTGAGCATCGGGTGGTGGGGGAGGGTTGTGGGGTCCTGGGGAGGAGGCACAGAAGAGGCGAGAAGGGGGACGCTGATGTCGGGGGAGGAGATGCCGCCACTGTAGCCCCTCCCCCGGCCCAAGGGAGCCCCTCTGGGAGCCCACCCACCTCCGGCTCACCCCTCCTTGAGCTCCTACTGTGCTGCATTTCACCTCCACTCTGTTTCTGTGGGGTGTTTGTCTCAGGATTGGTAGCTCCCGACTGGACTTTGTTTGTTTACACATTCATTCAATCCTTTATGGACACACTAAGTGTTATCCTGGAGGAAGCATAGGGTGTCTTGGGAACACAGAGGGGCCCGCAGCCCAGATTTGGGGAAGACGCGTTAGTTGGGCAGAGGGGTGGGAGAGGAAGGGGAACGGCACTTCTGGCAGAGGGAACAGCATAGGCAAGGTTCAAAGTCAGAGAGCACAGAGTATCTGAGACACTGGAGGAGCGTGACAGTGGCAGGAGTGTGCGGAATGGCCACGAGGAGCAGAGGGAGGCACAAGTGGAGATAAAGGAAGCTGAAAGGAGTGGGTCTTGCATCTTGTCCTGTTGGGGGAGGTCATCGTAAAGAGAAGTGTGCTGGGATAGAGCATGATGGAATCAGTGCACAGGGGGCATTGCATGATGGGCAGGAGCACACTCCCCAGGCAGCCTTCCCACCTGGCACTGCCAAGGACCAGTAGGGTGTAAAAAAAAAAAAAAAAACCCTCCCCGTGCCTCAGTTTCCCTATCTGTAAAATGGGCTGTTGTTAACAGTAACTACCTTCATATGAATAGATGAGATGCTTAGAGCAGGGCTTGGCCCAGAGTACATGCTGTCAAAGTGTGCATGGGAAGTGGCATCTGAGAAGACCGTCTCCAGTCATGGCTGCTGATCTGTTTTCTAGTGCAGGCATGTAGTCGTCAATCGAAAAGTGTTTGTGTGTACACCTTGGGCTGGACGCTATTCTAGATGCTGAGGATACCACTGCAAAGGAAACAGGTCCCACAACCTAGCCCTCAGGAAGCGTGTGCTCTAGCTGGAGCAGGCAGGCAATGAGCCAGACAGATGATAAAACAGGAGATGGCAGAGCACTTGCAGCTTACAGCAGGGAAGACCTGGGGGTCTTGTGGAAGCTGACGCTGGAGCCATCACTGGCAGGCCTTATGGATATTTCAGAGAAGAGAGATCCAGGCAGGAGACAGCAACACTCCTGCTGCAGGACTGTGATTGCCACATCAAAGAACAAGTTGGCCAGTGTGACTGGGGGAATGGTGGGCCCAGAAGTCAGAGAGCAAAGTGGGGAAGTGGCAGATCCCACAGGCCATGGAGGCTGCTGTAAGGACATGGACTTTTCCTTCTGAGCCAGATGGGGAGCTGTGGGAGGGTTTGAGCAGAAGAGTGACATGGTGAGACTTGGGTGTCATAAGACTTAGAGCTTTCTGGTGCTATGCGGAGGACCATATGTAGGGAGACAGAGTGGAAGTAGGGAGGTAAAGTCAGAGGCTACCATAGCAGCCCAGGTTGGAGCTGACAGGCGCTTGACTCAAGTGGTAATGGTGAAAGTGGTGGTGAGTGGTAGGAGTCTGGACGGATGGATGGGCAAACGGATGGATTGATGGATGGATGGATGAATGTATGGAAAGATGAATGAATGGATGGATGGTTGGACGGATGGATGGAGAGATGAATGGATGCAGAGATGGATGGAGAGATGGTGAGATGGATGGATGCATGGATGGATGGATGGAGAGATGGATGGATGCATGGATGGATGGATGGAGAGATGGATGGATGGACTGGTGGATGACTGGGTAGATGTCTAGATGGACGGACGGAGAGATGGATAGATGGATGGATGGAGAGATGAAGGAATGGATGGATGGATGGAGAGATGGATGGATGGATGGATGGGTGGGTGGATGGATGGACGGATGGCTAGATGGATGGATGGAGAGATTGGTGAATGAATGAATGGATGGATGGGCTGGTGAATGGGTGGGTAGATGGTTAGATGGATGGATGGAGACATAGATGGATGAATGGATGGAGAGATGAAGGGATGAACGGATGGAGAGTTGGATGGATGGATGGCAAGATGACTGGTTGGAGAGATGAATGAATGGAAGGATGGATGGATGGAGGAATGGATGGGTAGGTGGCTAGATGGATGGATGGAGAGATGGATAGATGGATGGATGGATGGACAGATGGATGGAGAGATGGATGAGTGGGTGGATAGAGAGGTAGATGGATACATGGATGGATGGAGAAATGAAGGGATGGAGAGATGAATGGGTGAACGGATGGATGGATGATTGGATGGATGGATGAATGGAGGAATGGATGAAGAGATGGAAAGATGGAGAGATGGATGGAGGAATGGATGGATGATAGCTGTCTAGATTAGGGGATGGAGAGATGGATGAATGGATTGGTGGATGGATGGGTAGACGACTAGGTGGATGGATGGAGAGATGAATAGATGGATGGATGGAGAAATGAAGGGATGGATGGATGGAGAGACGGATGGATGACTGGCTGGCTGACTAGATGAATGGATGGAGAAATGGATGGATGGATGGATGGATGGATGGGTTGGTGAATGGATGGGTAGATGGCTGGATGGATGGATGGAGAGGTGGATGATGGATGGATGGAGGGATGGAAGGATGGATGGAGACGGATGAACGGATGGATGGATGGAGAGATGAATGAATGGAGAGATGGATGGAGAGATGAATGGATGGGTGGGTAGATGGCTAGATGGATGGATGGAGAGATGGATGGAGGGTTGGATGGATGGATGGTGAAATGAATGGATGGAGAGATGGAATGAATGAATAAATGGGTGGATGGATGGATTAGAGGAGTGAGAGCTTCCTGTGACTGGAGTGGTGAGCTCACCCTGGTGGCGTGAGTCTTGAAGGATGAGGGGACTCTTTAATAGGAAAGAGGAAGAGGATGGGATTCCTGGTGGAGGAAGGGGCTTGAGCAAAACCTCTGAGGCAGGGATGACTGTGGTGTGTTCAGGGATGTTAAGAGACCCAGGTAGGTGGAGCACTGAGTGTGTCTGAGTGTGTGTGTGTGTGTGTGTGTGTGTGTGTGTGTGTGTATAGGAAGAAGTGAGCATATTGAGGCCTGATACAATTGTTGAGAGCCTTGAATGCCAAGCTGAATAATAGAGGCAAAGGGGATCCCAGGGGGCTTTTGAGCCGGCACATGTCAGGGTAGAAGAGTGGATTTTGGGTTTCATGGACTTGGGTAGGAAAGAAGTCCTTAGAGAGCATCTAGGCCACAGCTTTTTGCAGAGCCCTGGGGTTTTAAGAAAGCATCTCAGGTCTCCCACGACAGGCATGGAGAGGCTAAGTGAGCAGGGATTTTGGACTCAACATCTTTGCCTAAGATTCAACCAGAACAGCTTGTTTCTAATTTGTGCAAGATTTCATCAGAAGAAACTAGTCAGAACTCTTTTAGGTACAAGTAACAAAAACCAATTCAAGCTGGCCTACTCTGAAGAGATTTTTGTGTGTGTGTGTGGCCTTATAGCTAGAATGCCCATGGCCATCAGCTTCAGGGATAGTTGGATCTGGGTATTCAGATGGTGGGGGCAAGACCTTGCTGCCCCCCAACTCTTAGCCCTCATTTGTTCTTTTGGGCTGATCCCTCAGGCAGGCTTCCCCTTGTGAGGCTCCTGACAGCAGCAGGCCTGGCCACCCCAGTGAGAGGAGGGCTCCTTCTCTCTTCCAAGATTCCAGTAGAAATCACGGAATTGGGTGTCAGGGTCCATGGCCTCATGTGCTCAACCTGAGTCAGTCACTGGCTCCGTGGGTTGCATGACCTGGGTTTCATGCCCACTCCACCATGACCTGCAGTGGCCACATTAATAGACTCGTTACCAGAAGAAGGAGAAAGGGACGAGGGCACGTGGGGGGAAAAAAATTTTTTTTTACTGCCAAAAATTTTTCCAAATGTTAGAAGATCACAGACATAGTTAATCTCTTCAACACACAATAAGAGGGCAGAGGCATGAACAGAGAAGGTGAACAGGGAAGGCGTCTACCCAACTCCTGGGGACTCTTGGGCAGAAGAGTTGGCCCTGGGGTTCTGGGTTGATCAGGGAACTCATCTTGGCTTATGGCGGGGACTTCATAGGTGTGCAAGGACTGGGTCCCCAAACGAGCAGATACACCAGGACACCCCCACAAATCCCAGGCATCGTATGTTCTGTTTCCAGAGAGTGCCTACGTGAACCTGTTCTCTGAGCAGAGCCTTCTCCAGGAGGTGACGCTGGGTGAGGGGCTCACCCTCAAAGTCAACGTGGAGGCCTACCCGAGCCTGCAAGGTTTTAACTGGACCTATCTAGGACCCTTCTCTGACGGCCAGCCCAAGCTTGACTTTGTCACCATCAAGGAGATGTACAGGTACCACCTATTGGCTCTCCCCCACCCCCCTCACAGCCCCGCGGCCTGGTGGGGGCACTCTTGCAGGAATAGGGACACATGGTCGTGTTCCAACCTTCTGTGAAAACCTGAGTGAGTCCCTTCCCCCCTGGGGCTGTTCCTTCCCTGACAAGTGGGACCATGATGGCCGTCATCTGTGTTTGCACTCCAGGCCCCATGGGCTCAGCTTCTGCCCGCAGCCCTGGGAACCGCAGTGCCTGGCGAGCTCCACCATCCCTCAGGAGTGGGCATCTCGGCCTCTCGAGGGCCCGGGCTCGTTCATTCTCCTCTTTGTGGTCAATCCAAATGCAGAGAACAATCCCATGGATCCCGTCACAGCCGTGCTCCTCAAAATGACCGCACGGGGAGTCTGCCACCCTCAGGTCTGAGTGGGTGGCGAGAACAGACACACTCACTCCCTGATGCACAGGTGCTCTTTGAGGCCTGTGGCCGCCCGCCCCTGAGGGTTTCTCACACCACTCTGCCCAAGCCTGAAACCTTCTCACAAAGCGTGGCTGACTCCACGTCCTCCCCCACAGTCTGGCATATTCACCCACACATGTGAGATGTCTCCTACGGGCTGTGTCCTCAGGGTCCCACAGAGGCCTAAGCAGATCGATTCTGAACACACAGGTTTCCTCCTAACCGGATACTCACACCAGGCCTTCACATAATGGCCTCCCGCCCCATCCTTCTATCGTGAGACATACCCGGACAAGGCTGGCACACATGCGGCATACACGCCACATTCATGCTGCACGCACACCCCGGCGTTCCCAGGACAGGTCTCTGCCGTCTCCCCCACATCCAGTTCAGCCACAGGGCCTTCCCTTACAGACCCTGCCTCTACTAACTTTCGGGAAAAAGCCACTTTCGGATGAGAAAACCAACTAAGAAACTAGGGTTGGTGATTTTCTCACGTTTCCGTGGCATCCGCTGAAGTACCTGGCTCTGGCGTGGGGCCTTGGGCACTGCCAAAAATACAACCATCCCCGTTAAGGTGGCTGGCTGAGCTTTGCTCCCCCAGCAGCGGCCACCCCAAGCCGGGGCTCACCAAGACCGCTGGTTCCCCCGCAGATATACCTCCACGCTCTCGCTGCCCCGCCTGAAGCCCTCCGAGGCCGGCTGCTATGCCTTCCTGGCCAGAAACGTGGGCGGCCAGAAGGACTTGACATTTGAGCTCACCCTCCGCTGTGAGTGACAGGGCGGGGTCCCGGGCTGACTGGGAGGGCTGCACAAGAGAGGCTGGGGAGGAGGCTCCGGGCAGCATAGTCAGGAGAGGGACGAGTCTCCCTACCTCCTCAGACCCCCCCGAGGTGAGTGTCGTATGGACCCTGGTGAACGGCTCCAACACCCTACGGTGTGATGTCTCCGGGTACCCCCCGCCCAACGTGACGTGGCTGCAGTGCGGAGGCCACACAGACAGGTGAGCGGGCCTCCGCACCCCACCGGACGGGCTGGGGCCGCCGTCGAGAGTGGGTGGGAGCTGGGGCAGGGGACCCCGCCACTCTGAGCCACATTCTCTCTTCCCAGGTGTGAGGAGGGGCAGGTGCTGCAGGTGTGGGAGGACACGCACCCGGAGGTCCTGAGCCGGGAGCCCTTCAGCAAGGTGACAGTGCAGAGCCTGCTGGCCATCGAGGCCCTGGAGCACAACAGCACCTACGAGTGCAGGGCTCACAACAGCGTGGGCAGTGGCTCTTCCACCTTCAGGCCCGTCTCTGCAAGTGAGCCTTCTCCTACCCCCGAGGCGGGCAGGGGAGCTGGGGAATCCTGGAATCTGCCCACCCCAGGGAGCCAGGGAGGATCCCCATTTGGAGCAGACCCAGCAGGCCCCTCCTGCCCAGCAAGCATCCTGATGGCAGAAGGGCAGCAGGAGGCACCTGGCCCGGTGGGAGAGGTCCGAGGCTGCTGGACCCTGTATTTGATCCTGCTGTAACCCACGCACCATCCAAAGGCACGTGCGGGCATCTGGCATGCATGCCATGTATGAGCACGTGCAGGGCACAGGGGGCAGTGCCTCACTGTGCTTAGGTCCTGGGAGGCCCTGGCAGTGAACTAGGACTCTCAGGCCACCAACCCAGGGCCAGCCACGGCGCCACCTCCATCTCTCCCAGCTCCCCTCTGGCCTGGACACCTCCTGTCTATCACAGGTCACCAGGGATCCAGGCCCAGTGCCATCACAAACACAGACTGCCCCTTGGGCTTTACACAGAGGTTCTGTGGGACGAGATCTGTCCTCTTCAGGTCCACAGGCCCTCGGGCCTTTGACAAACAAGCCGCGGCACCTGCCATGTGGCTGTCACGGCCCTGTGGCCTGGTTCTGTGGGCCCAGAGAGGACAGAGCGCCCAGACCCTGCCTGGCTCAGAGGTGCCCCTTGTGCGCCCAGCGGCTCGTTTTGGAGCAGATGCTCCCGGGGCCCGAGTGCTCGCCACTGCCTATGCCACATGTGTCTGGTTGCCGGTACTGCCACATCACGCTGAAGGCGGCCTTCACAGGGCCGGGCACTGTGCCAAGCCCTTCATGGCATGTACCAAGGAACTCCACAAACCTAGATGAGACCACAAATTTCTCCTCCGTTGTGGAGAAGTCATAGGCTCCATGCTGCCCACCTCCTAAGTGGCAGAAGTGAGGTTTGACTTCAGACCCAAGTTCCTGAGCTGAGTGATGGGGTGGACACTATGTCCTTCAGAGCACATCACGAGGCCTAAGAGTGCAGACCCAGGAGAGAGGAGACCTGGGGCCATGTGCCCGGCTTGCAGACCCTCCGGAGGACTGTGTGCTTCCAAGGGCACGTGGGGACACAGCGGGGGAGATGCTGGGAAGGCCGACTGCAGTGTAGCCTCCAAAAGGCCTTTCTGGTGGACCTTCTGGAGCATAGGTGTGAGCCCTCCACCCCTGGGAGGGTGTATGCCAGCAGTAGCCGGACCCGAGGCCAGCTGTTTCCTTGCACCAGCAGGAGGTGAGACTGTATGACTCAAGGGCCCCTCGGCCACAGGGGTCTGTGGTTCTGGGCCTGAGGAGAGCTGAGAGACCATCCTCCCTGCCTCTCTCTGGCAAGGGGCACCTTATTCAGCCACCCAGCATCTGTTGAGCACCCGCTGTGTTCAGGCCATGCAATGGCCCTACTCCGTGGGAGAGGGATGCGGAGGCCCCTGGTCAGCCCCTGCACCTCCCTTCCAGGATCCACGCACGGCCCCGAGGAGCTCCTCTTCACACCAGTGGTGGTCGCCTGCATGTCCGCCATGGCCCTACTGCTACTGCTGTTCTTGCTGCTGTTGTACAAGTACAAGCAGGTAAGTGCCAGGCGGGGCGGGGTGTCAAGGCACCTGTGTAAGCCAGATCTGGCGTGGTCCCACCAGGCTGCACAGTCACCCTTCAGCCCCTTCACCCCCGAAGTCAGCCAACAACTCCTTCGTGAGCGCCTACTGCATGCCAACATGGGCCGGGTGCTGAGTGGCCCCTAACGCTCCGCCCTTATGGGGTCTGCTGTCCAGTGCAGGAGACAGGCACGAATCAATAGCCATGAGAGTCTGGGCGTGTGGCTCATGCCTGTCATCCCAGCACTTTGAGAGGCTGAGGTAGGAGGATGGCTCGAGGCCAGGAGTTCAAGACCAGCCTGAGCAATGTAGCATGACCCCATCTCAAAAACACAAGAAACAGCTGGGCGCGGTGGCTCACACCTGTAATCCCAGCACTTTGGGAGGTTGAGGCGAGAAGACAGACTGAGCCCAAGGGTTCCAGACCAGCCTGGGAAACTGGGCGCGACCTCGTCTCTATAATAAATTAAAAAATTAGCCAGACATGGTGGTGTGCGCTTGTAGTCCCAGCTATGTGGGAGGCTGAGGTGGAAGGATCACCTGAGCCCAGCAGGTTGAGACTGCGGTGGCCGTGAGCATGCTGCTGCACTCCAACCTGGGTGACAGAGTGAGACTCTGACTCAAAAACAACAACAAAAGCCCGTAAGAAAATAGCCATGAAAGTGAGAGCACAGTTTATAGAGTAAAAGATGCCATGAGGAGAGGGTTCCTGCCCTAGCCCGAGGTGTCCAGGCACCCAGGACAAGGCAAGGTGGGCAGAGGATGGTGTCTGGTCCAGTGAGGAGGAAGGCCTGGGTCCCATCACCCTCCGTCATCTCACTTGACTGCACCACCCATCAGAGCTGTGTGCATGGTACACAGTTATCGCATGTCCTGCCACTGAAGGCTCAGTAAGCGATGATGGCCTTGGGGCACTTTTAGGAAATATGTCACCATCTCCTTGAGTGCCCCAGCAACCAGGGCATGCAGCTGAGATTACAAACCCATCTCTCAGAGCTGAAAGCTGACGCTCTGAGAAGTTGAGATAGTCGCCTCGTCCAAGAGTCTGGTTTTTAGCCCTGTGGGACTGACTACAAAGCTGTGTGTCTAGCCATGATGTGGACATCAAATCACCCTAGTTTACCCTCACAAAAACCACAGGGACAGGGAGCATAAAAGAATTTCACCCAGAAGGAAACTGAGTCTCAGCAAGGTTAAAGAGCCCACCCAAGGGACTGAGGGGTGTGGCTGGCACTGGGTCCCCGGGACCTCTCATCCCAGAGCCTGTGGCCCCACTTTCGGCCCAGCTGCCACTCATACAGAGACACATGCAGTGATCAGATGCTGAAGGGCTGGCCAGAGAGCCATGGAGGTCAGCGGTGGAGGGGCCTCTTCCTGCTGGTGAGATGGGAGGCTGCCTGGAGGAGGTGGCTTGGTAGTGGGGGGACGGGTCTTTGCAGCAGGGGAGATGAGGCGTCTCTGGGGCAGGGGACAGTGTGCAGAGGGCAGGTGAGAGGAGGCCTGGAGAGGGGGTGCTGGCACCGGAAGAGAAGGTGGGAGGGGCGGGCTGGGCTCTGAGGGCTGGACCCTGCCCTATAGGCCCAGGGGGATCTGGACAGGGAAGGATGTGATTAGGGGGTGGATAACTTCCTTCACTGCTTTCCTTTCCCATGCCTGCTCTGGGGTCGTGAGAAGGCTTGGCGTGGGCAGGGCGGCTGAGATGCAGGGGAGCCCGGGCCGTGGGGGGTCAGTCTCTCTAGCCCCTGCTGGAACTCGCCAGAAGAGGCAGCTCGGGGACAGCCCAAGAAGACAGGGCCCCAGGTCAAGACCTCAGAGATTGCTTTCTGCTTTGTTGTGTGATCTCCGGTCATTCGCTAGCCTGTCTAGGTCTCAGTTTCCCCTCCCGTGCAATGGAACTGGGCGATCCCTCCTTCTAGCTTAAGAGTTTGGGACTGGAGTTTGATGGATTTGAGTTCGATTCCTGCCTCTGCTAGTCCCTGGCTGTGGGATGATGGGAAAGTTGCTGTCTCTAGGCTTCAGTCTCCATCTGTAAGATGGGGTTCAGGCTACCATGAGAGTTCTGTGACGCGACGCATGCAGAAGGCTCCACAGGGCACTGGTGCAGATGGCGCTTGCGATGGAACCTCACACCCTGTCCTAGGGAGGAAGTTGGCTGAGCTCATGTGTCCCAGGCGGGGCTGAGGCTGGGCATCCCCGTGCCTACTCACCCACAGTGTGGTCGGCCCATGCACCCACCTCTGAGTTCACTCCTTGCAGCTGGCTCCAAGCAGCTTTGCCCTCATATGGAGCTGAAGCTGTAACCCTGCCCCCCCACCACCCCACCCCACATTGCCAGCTCACTCCTGTAGCTGCAGATTCCAGAGAAGAGCTTGGCCCCTGCAGCCCTCCCCGCTTTGGGCTGACCAGTCCCACTGGCTGTGGTTTAGGGACACCATGCTCTCTCCATGGGCACATTTGTCATCTGCTCGTCCCCCATCCGGGAAATTCAGTCACCCCCTGAGCCCACGCAAGGTTGGGAGATGACGGACAGCTGCAGGCCACCCTCCTCCCCAGCATCCTTCCACAGACCCATTGGCTCCCCCATCACAGAGGTACCACCCTGGGACAAGATTTTGAGAGGTCAAAATGTCCCTGCCTCAGGGCCTGGGGAAAGGGGTGGCCCGGGTGTGGGGGGTTGTTTCAGCCTCAGGGCTGAGTCATCACCTTCTGTCCCCGAGAGACCACAAGGGGGGCTGGGGAGAGAGGAAAGGGCCGGTCCTCCTCCGAGGGACCCAGGAGACAGTGGGACACCAGGGGATGGGGGGCCGCTGGAGAGACAAGGACGCAGGGGGCTGGGGCTGAGCTCTGAGGACGGACAGGAGGGTCTCCCAAAGCTCCCAGCGGAGTTGTTCAGGCCTCCACCTCCCCGAGCCAGAGACTTCCTCCCAGAACCAGCAGGAGACGGGAGGGTGGTCTCCAAGGCCACTGTGGTCCCTGGGGAAGCCCAGGTGGGCACAGGGCTCAGGCCCATGGTGAGGGACAGATGAGACGATGAACATCGAGGGTCTGGCCCAGGGTCTTCACACAGGGAGTGCCCACATGAGTGCCCGGGCCCTCACCACAATGGCTGCCCGTTCTTAGGACACCTCCACCTGACCCTTGGCCTCTCAAAACGGTCCTTCCAAGGAGAGCCTCTGCGGGTGGACACTCCCCAACCCTTCCTAGGGATGGCACGGGTGTCCTGAAGGGTCACAGGCCGAGCAGGGGGCAGCGCAGGCCTCTTCCAGATTCCGAGCCAGAGTCAACGACTCAGAGACTGAGGCTCAGCCGGCTTTGCCTTCCCTGGTCTCTCCCTTCCAACACTGTTCCTGGCCCAGTGAGGGGGAGGCTGACTCAGCCCAGCTGCCAAGGACAGGAAGGAGAAGTGGCCAGGAGGAAGCACAGCCTGGGTTGTGGGGCTCCTGGGGTGGGAGTGGCCGGGAGCGGGCAGAGAACCCCTTCCTGGCTCCCTGTTCGACTCATGGCTGGGAGCTCCACACACAGGGTCTGAATCCTCAGAGACTCAGGACATTGTCCCTACGGCTCATCTCAGACACTCCTCCGAGTTGTAGCCTGGCTGTTCTTAGGTTTACCCATGGTCTGCCCTCCTGAATCAGAGCACGGGCCTTCTCCCTTATGGCTAACGCTAGTCTTTTCTCCCTAACGACCACCTAGAAGTCCTTCCCCATGGCTATCTGGAGTCTTGTCCCTTAAGCAAAACTGGCGGTCCAGAACCCTCGCTGGCCAGCACCTGCCCACACAACCTCTAGCACCCCAGCTTGGTGCCCAGGGAAGGGGTCCAGCTACAAGTATGGCTGTGCTGGTCCCTGTCCCCAAGGCCTTCCCGGAAAGAGTCAGCCTGCTGACCCAGAACCTCAGGGTCCTCACCGCCCCTGCCAGCACCTCCTTTGCCCTGAACTTGGCCTTCCATCAGCACTTCTCGTGGGCAACCCTTGGCGTGATGGCCCCCCCAACTCTGGCAGCTGTCCCTGGGCAGGAAACAAAGGCTCCTCCTCCCAAATCCCAGCCGGGCCTCTCTGGTGGCTGGCAACGGCACAGAAAGCCTGAGTTGGAATCGGGTCTTTGCCAAGATCCTGGCCCACCCGCCGTCCAGTGGGCAGGCCCCATTCCTCTCATGGAGAGTCAGACGGCCACGCACCTGCCTCAAGCCCTCAGGCTTCTCGCTGCAGTTAAAAGGGCTCACCTTGTCACAATCCACATGGCCCTCCTGCCTCGAGGACCTCCCTCCAGCTGCTGGCACCTTCCCTTTCCTTCCCTCCATCTGCTTCAAGCAGACGGGGTTACTGAGGCTCAGAGACTTGCTCAGGGGGCTGGGACTGGAACACTCCCTGTAGTCCTAGGCCCAGCGCTAGTCAACACCGTGCAAACCCACCAGTGTCTCTCCTTGTCAGGCATGTGCTGTGCGCCTGGAAAGTCCTTCCTTCCACGGCAGGCTTCACGGGACCATCCTCTCTCTGTCCCATTCCCTGCTCTGTTTCTGTCACAGCACGTCTGGAAAACTACCCACATGTATACTCACTGGAGTTTAATGCCTCTTCGCCGCCAGCATGCAAACTTCACAGGGGTGGGACTTGGTCTTGCTCAATGGTGGGTTACCAGGAGCTCAGGAAGCGCCTGGATGAGGTATGATTCAGTCTTAAAAAGGAAGCGACCTCTGACCCGTGCTACAGCATGGATGGACCCTGAGGACATTGTGCTAGGTGACATAGGACAGTGGCAAAAGACAGTATGATTCCACAGACGCGAAGTCCCTGGAGTGGTCAGACTCACAGAGATGGAAAGTTGAATCGTGATGGTCAGAGTCCAGGAGGAGGAGGGGGTGAGGCGAGTTCTGCCATGGGCACAGAGTTTGGGTTTTACAAGATGAAAAGAACTCTGTGGGTCGGGTGCGGTGGCTCACTCCTATAATCCCAGTGCTTTGGGAGGCTGAGGTGAGAGGATCGCCTGAGTCCCACAGGTTCGAGACCAACCAGGGCAACTTGACGAAACTTCACCTCTACAATAAATAAAAAAATTAGCTGGGCGTGGTGGTGCACGCCTCTATTTCCAGTTACTTGAAAGGCTAAGGCAGAAGGATTGCCGGAGCCCAGAAAGGCAAGGCTGCGGTGACCGTGAGCGTGCCGCTGCACTCCAGCCTGAGCAACAGAGTGACACTGACAGCATAAATGTACTTAAGATGCTTGCTGGACACTTAAAAACGGTTGAGATGGTACACTTTATGTTATATATGTTTTATCAGCATTAAAAAGAAAAACAAAAAATATTTGGATGGGAAGGTGGGTGGGTGGGTGGCTCAGAGATGACCAGCCCGCCAGGGTCTCAAGGCCCGCAGAGGACGTTCCGATCGTGGCCTTCAACACAGGCAGAGATGCTGGGGCCGGGACATGGGAAGGCGCCCTCGTGGCATGTCCAGCCTTGCCCTACCTTCTCCGCCGAGTGCCTGGAGCTGCCCACACTCTGCTGCTGGGGTGGGAGCCGAGAGCCGAAACCTGCCGGCCCGGCCACGTGTTCCTTCCTCTTCCCCTGCAGAAGCCCAAGTATCAGGTGCGCTGGAAGATCATCGAGAGTGCTGGGGGCAACAGCTACACCTTCATTGACCCCACCCAGCTGCCCTACAATGAGAAGTGGGAGTTTCCCCGAAACAACCTGCAGTTCGGTGAGATGGGGTCTCCACACCCCCGAGCCTCCTACTGTGGGACCTGGGGCCACAGGAAGCCTGTGGACCCTTAGAAAGGGGCCCGTTGGTGCCAGAGTCCTAAGGACCTGTGTGTGTGGCAGGTAAGACCCTTGGAGCCGGTGCTTTTGGGAAGGTGGTGGAGGCCACAGCTTTTGGCCTGGGCAAGGAGGACGCCGTCCTGAAGGTGGCCGTGAAGATGCTGAAGTGTGAGTGAGGCGGAGGGTGGAAGGGGGTGTAGCTCGGGCGGGCAGGCCCTGTCCTCCCAGAGCACCACCCACCTCTCACTGTGGGTGGACAGGGGGAAGGAGCAGAGCTCAGGCCTGGAGTGAGGGCTTTGGCTCTTCTTGTGAGCTCCAGGCTCCCTCTGACTCCTGACTCCAGGAGGTCTAAGTCAACCTTTGGGTGTGGAGGGGCTTCAGACGACACCTCAAAGAGGCCAGGGTGTAGAGGCCACCTGGCGCCATGGCCTGTCCACAGTGTGGCTTCCTGCCACCTCAACCAGCTCCGTGACGGGCCATCCCATGTGTCTGTGTTTCTCCCTCTCCTCTCTCTGGGTCTCTGGGAGGCTGCTTGCTTCCCTGGGCCTCTGCGCTTGGCCCCTGTCTGTCTGTGTCTCTGTCCTGCCCTATCCTGTCTGGGGGACCTGTGTCTCCCAGCCACGGCCCACGCGGACGAGAAGGAGGCGCTCATGTCAGAGCTGAAGATCATGAGTCACCTGGGCCCACACGAGAACATCGTCAACCTCCTGGGAGCCTGCACCCATGGAGGTGAGCACCTTGCCGAGGGCCCCTGGCCAGCCTCTCCCTCTCCCGCTTCCCATCTGCTCCGAGTGCCAGTGGGTTCCCTTGAGTCCCAGCCAGCCCTCTGGACGGTCAGCGCCCCTCATGGGGGTGCAGTGTCTGGCGCTCTAGTCGGCGGTCTGACACCACGAGCACTGAGGCACTCGCGGGAGATGAAACCACACCCTCCTGACTCTGTAGGTCTGGAGTGAAACCCCTGCCTGGGATGCCCGGACCCCAGGTCCTCAGAGGTGCCCATGGCTCGCTGGAGCCCCAAGTGCCCACTCATCTGGAGCAACTCTGGCCTGCAGCAAGCGGCCGTGGACTCCCTTGGAGAAAAGGCTCCTTGCGCTGCATTTGTTTAACGTCCTCTGCTTTATTTTTAAAAATTTTTTTTGAGTCGGAGTCTCACTGTGTTGCCCAGGCTGGAGTGCAGTGGCGCGCTCCCAGTCGCTGCAGCCTCAACTTGCTGGACTCAGGCGATCCTTTTGCTTCAGCCTTCCAAGGAGCTGGAACTACAGGCATATGCCACCATGCCTGGCTAATTTTTTGATTAATTGTAGAGATGAGGTCTCGTCAAGTTGCCCAGGCTGGTCTCCAACACGTGGGCTCAGGCAATCCTCTAGCCTCAGCCTCCCAAAGTGCTGGGATTATAGGCGTGAGCCACCAGGCCTGGCCCATCCTCTGCTTTAAGCAGATGGAGTTGCCGAGGCTCAGAGACTTGCTCACTGAGCCGGGACTGGAATGCGGGTGGGCACCTCCCTCACCCTCACCCCATGCCCTAGGCCCTGTGCTGGTCATCACCGAGTACTGCTGCTATGGTGACCTGCTCAACTTCCTGCGAAGGAAAGCTGAGGCCATGCTGGAGCCCAGCCTGAGTCCCGACCAGGACCCCGAGGGGAGCTCAGGCTACAAGAACATCCACCTGGAGAAGAAATATGTCCGCAGGTAGTGCTTTGGTGCAGGGCAGGAGGGAGGCCAGGCTGGGAGGCCCAGGGAGGGCAGGGGCTGTGCAGCCCGCAATCTACCTGTGCCGTGGATGCAGCCACTTGTCTGTCCCTACGACTTATCCACATCATGCAACAGATACAAGGGGACCCTTGCATTCGGGGCATGTGGGAGCCCAGGTGGGCAGCTCAGGGCCTGTGGGGTATGGGCAATGAGATCATCACCTGGCTTGTGTGAGCCACTCTCCATGCTTGCAGCCCTGGCCTGGGAGGGCAGACCTTGAGATGAGCGTCCTTCCCCCTGAGCGTGTGGCCACAGCACCCACTCCACGAGGAGTGGCAATGTGTCCCCACATCGCCACGGAGAAGGGGGACACAGAGTCTGCTAGTCGTTGGGCAAGAAGAGGCAGAACTCCACGACTGCAGCCAGGTCCCTGGTCCACTTGGGCCTCAGTTTCCCCAGGCAAGCCATCCGTAGGCTGACCTCTCAGGGCCTCTCTGGCTCTGCTGTGATTCCTGGAAGTTGTCCAGGGGCAGATGGACGGTGCCACATGGGGAACTAGAGAGAGGAAGTGGACAGTTTCACGTCACACACGAGTCAGGGTGGAACCAGAGCCCACACTAGAACTCTGCGCTCCAGACTTCCGGTTCGGCACTCAGAGCCGCTACTGTCTTGGGGGGTCTCCGTCCTACACAGGGACACTGGCTTTTCCAGCCAGGGCATGGACACCCACATGAAGATGAGGCTCGTGTCCACTCTTCAAATGGGGGAGGCAACAGGGGAAGGTGACCCTTCTTCATCCAATGTCCTCAGATGTGGAGGCCTGGCAGCATCTGCTTATTCTCCCAATTCTCAGCACCCCTGAGGGTGGCACACACGATTCCTCTGCAGGCAGGAACCTTAGGGGTGACAACTGACTTGAGCACCAAAGGGTCAGCCTCCACCCTCAATTATGCAGACGGGGAAGTTGATTCCCAGAGGGGATAATTTCAAGGGCAAATGGCACAGGCACCAATCCCACCAACAGGATCCCAGGCTATGTTAAGAGAAGTATCATTTTTAGAACATGGGAGTAGATGGCTTGCCATGATCAGATTATAAAGCAAACACCGGGTTCTTTTTCTGGGAACACCAGAGCACGCACATTGTCAAGGAGCACATGTTTAGCACAGGGGGATGGGAGGGTGAGGGGCGGGAGGGAAAAGAGACCATGTCCGGCTGGATATTGGGAGGAGCGGTGGCTGACTGGTCTAGGGCAGTGCTTCTCAAACTTTTGCTACTCCTGGGCAGTACCAGGGATTGCCAGAAATAACCACCCCAGGCTACCCACCCAGACCTGATGCTGGCACTTCTCATGTGAGACTGCCCGGCGACCTATCTGCGTGGAAAACACGGCTTCAGGCCATGGGCTCAGCCCAGGCTGCTCTCTGCAATCATCTGGAGTTAGTCAAAGCTGTCATTGACTGTTCAGAAACCCTAGAGTTTCTGAAGTAATTGGTCTGCCCTTAAAAGTGCCCCAGGTGACCTTAATGCGAAACCAGGGGCAAGCGCCACTGTCCAGAGCGGACTCAAAGGAGGGCCCCTGGGCCGGGCGCGGTGGCTCATGTCTATAATCCCAGCACTTTGGGAGGCCAAGATGAGAGGACTGCCTGAGCCCAGCCTGGGCAACTTGGCGAGACCTCATCTCTACTATAAATCCAAAAAATTCGTCGGGCCTGTAGTTCCAGCTACTTGGAAGGCTGAGGCAGAAGTATCACCTGAGCCCAGCAGGTTGAGACTGCAGTGGCCATGAGCATGCCACTGCACTGCAGCCTGGGCAACAGAGTGAGAGACTCCAACTCAAAAAAAAAAAAAAAGGAGGGCCCCTTGGACATGCCGGAGCAGGACTGTGATGGGGAAGAGGGCACAGCACTGACCAGGAGGGAAGTCCTGGGCCCACAGGCTGCAGAGACAGGGCAGGCCGCAGGTTCCCTCCTGGGGAGTGCCAGGGAGTGGCCATGGGTCTTGCAGACCATGTGGCAAAAGTTTCCCACCAGAAACGGGTGCTCGGCGGACCTCAGCCCCCTCAGATGCCTGCTGCACAGCTGGAGGGGGAAGCTGAGCGGGGACAACGCAGGCCTGGGGACTGACCCCTTTCCTTTGTAGGGACAGCGGCTTCTCCAGCCAGGGCGTGGACACCTACGTGGAGATGAGACCCGTTTCCACTTCTTCTTCAAACGACTCCTCGGAGCAAGGTGAGGACGTCCCAGGCCAGCCCCACTTGCTGAGCACGAGGGGAGAAGGACTGCGGGGAGCTGGGCTGCGGGTAGGGGGATGGCAACGCTGCCCTGACATCTCTTCCCTCCCAGACCTGGACAAGGAGGACGGCCGGCCCCTGGAGCTGTGGGACCTGCTGCACTTCTCCAGCCAAGTGGCCCAGGGCATGGCCTTCCTCGCCTCCAAGAATGTGAGTGAGGACCTGGGCCGGGCTGAGGGGTGAGGATGAGGGGGTAGGGAAGGACAAGTGAGGGACTATGGAGGGGGAAGGCTGGGTGAGTGGGGGGGGAGTGAGGGGCCGGGATGGGAGTGGCTGGGGGGTCGGGGTGGGGAGGAAAGGTGTGAGAGGCTATAGTGGGGGGAGGCTGGGTGGGTGAGGATGGGGAGGGGCTAGGATGGGAGTGGCTGGGGGGGGTGAGGGGGGGGGAGGAGCCAGAGAACAGGAAAGCAAAGGGCTTCAGGGCTGGGCGGGAGGCAGTAGGACCCAAGGCATCCTGCCCGGAGAGGTGTCCCAGGCTGGCACCCGTGCCCTACGTGAAGGCTAGAAGGGCACCAGCTCCTAGAACAAGCGTTAGTCACTCCTTTTCACGGCACCGTGTGGAGGAGACAACGCCCTCATCTGACCGAGGTTCAAGTAAGCGCCAGGGAGAGGAGCTCTTGCCACGTCCCAACAGACTCGGGAGCTCGGTGCTGGCTCAGTTCTGGCGCTGCCACTTGGCTGTGTGACTTTGGCAGTGACTTATGTTCCTTGAGCCTGGATTTCGACACCTGTAAAAATGGGCATCAGCACAAGACTGTGGGGGGGATCAGAGAGGGTTCAGTGCTCAGGTTGAAGCTGGCACCCCCGAGGCCCCACGGGGCAGCTGCTGTCATTCATGGGCGGCCTGGCCCACAGCCCAGGGGCCCGCTGCTTCTGGCCTGAGCTGTCTGCCCCACTGACCAAGGGCTAGAAGGGCCACAGAAACTAGGGTGACGGTGGCTCTCCATGTGGCACTGTCACACCGTCATGCTACATTTTCCCAGACCCCAGGCCCTGCCCAGGGTGAACTCAAGTTCCTGGCAAATGGCCAAAACTGGCGTCCACGCTCTCAGTAAGGCCCAGAGCCTTGGGGCCTGCTGGTCCTCCTCACGTGGGCCCAAGCAGGGACAGGCCCAAGCAGGGACAGGCCCAGCCTCACCACAGGCTCTTTCCCCAGTGCATCCACCGTGATGTGGCTGCCCGGAATGTGCTGCTGACCAGTGGGCACGTGGCCAAGATTGGGGACTTCGGGCTGGCTAGGGACATCATGAACGACTCCAACTACATCGTCAAAGGCAACGTGAGTGCCGGGGAGAGCTGGGGCAGGGCGGGACGGGGGCAGTCGGGGTCCAGCGTGACCTGGGACTGTGTGCCAGGCCCGCCTGCCCGTGAAGTGGATGGCCCCCGAGAGCATCTTCAACTGCGTCTACACAGTACAGAGCGACGTCTGGTCCTATGGGATCCTCCTCTGGGAGATCTTCTCACTCGGTGAGCCGCTGGGCCAGGCCTTTTGGGTCACCCGCTGGTGACCTGCAGCTTGTGAGGAAACCGGTGCCCAGGACAGAGCAAGAGATGGTGGGATGGAAGGGCCAGGCGGGACCTCTTGGACCCCGGCATGGCAGCTCAGGGGCTGGTAAACCCCGCTCAGCAGGTGTCCTCCCAGGACTCTTCCCTTGCGTGCCCCTGCCATGCAGCGGCTGTCACCCCCTTCGGACACCTGCAGAGCCTTGAAGATACACCGCTCTAAGCTCCCCGGGAGGTGTGGCCTCACAGCTACCTCTGAGCGTCCCCACTGCAATGACACACACCTGACGCTCTGGTCTGATTCCAAAGCCTGTGCTGGAATTCTTGGTGTGGCTTGGCAAGGTCTGAGGCTTCCCTTTCTAGAAGCCTGGGCACAGGGCCTGGCACACAGTAAGTGCCAGGTAGGCCTAACTGCTGTGACAAGGTCATTGTCCAGGCGGGACCCAGTCAGCCTTGCTGGTATGTGGGGGTGTGGTTGGCAGGCCATGAGTGTGTGGGCTCTGATGGGAGCTGGGCCTCTGCAGGGCTGAACCCCTACCCTGGCATCCTGGTGAACAGCAAGTTCTACAAGCTGGTGAAGGACGGATACCAAATGGCCCAGCCTGTATTTGCCCCCAAGAGCATGTGAGCAGAGGGCTCCCAGAGAGGGAAGCTGTCTAGGTTCTGTCTGGGCGGGGTGGAAGGGTGGCAGCCCCGGTCTTACCCTGTCCACAATGTTCTGGAGCCAGGCTTCCTCTTCTCCATGGTGGACTCCAAATCAAGCTCCTCTGACTAGTCCAGGGTCCCCTGGTTTCCCAGGTGGGCTCTTCACAGGGGCTGGCCCTGAACTCACAGACACTTAACTCAGATGGTTATTGCAGTGAGTCTGGGATACCAAATGGCCTCCCTGTCAGGTGGGGGTGAGGAGTTCCCTTCTCCAAGGACTGCTGGGAGGGTTAGATGGTGACAAGTGCGAGCCTTGGCATGGCTTTACACCAGATTTGCCCCTGACTGGCTCTAGGGACCTCCGCTGGGTGGCCCCTTGGAGGCTGTGATGGTCCTCAGCCCCGGGGAGCTACACACGGCCCTTGTCGTCTCCAGATACAGCATCATGCAGGCCTGCTGGGCCCTGGAACCCACCCACAGGCCCACCTTCCAGCAGATCTGCTCCCTCCTTCAGGAGCAGGCCCAGGTGGACAGGAGGGCGCAGGTGATTGGGGCTGGGCTCAGCGGGTGGCTGGTGGAGCGGCTGGGCCGGACCTGAGGGTCAGGACTCACGGCCTGACCCCTTCTCAGGACTACGCCAACTTGCCAGGCAGTGGCAGCAGCAGCAGCAGCAGCGAGCCAGAGGAGGAGAGCTCTGGAGAGCATCTGGGCTGCTGCGAGCACGGGGAGGCTGCCCAGCCCTTGCTGCAGCCCAACAACTACCAGTTCTGCTGAGGCCCACCAGCTCCCCACAGATGGGCCACGAGGGGACACACTCCGTCCTGGTCACATCACCCAGCAGCTCGGCCAGCTGAAACCTGGGAGCCGAGGGACCTGGAGAAGTCAGAGAGGGCCCCACTCCCAGCCTAGGCCACCACTGCCATTTAGGGGCTGGGGCTGAGCCCCTCCCCGCACCCCGTTCTCATAGTGTTGGCCTCAAGTTTGCTATGCCAACCGGTAGAACTCCAGCTCACTTTCCTGACCTTTGCCTATGTCCAAGAACCCCTTTCCTGATACCCCGTGTCTCTGTGGAAATGGACTGGTTATGCCCATGATGGCCCCAGGGGCTGCCCTGGGAGTGAGAAACAGGAGCTAGACAGATTGGCGATCCCCTTTCTAACCAAGGGGCAGCAGGAGTGGACAGGTGCCCACAGACCACACCCAGCTCAGGCCCTTGGGGCAAGTGGCTCCTTGTAAGTGTCTAACAGGTCCCCCTGGTCCCTGCCCTGCAGCCTTCTTCACCCTGGCTTCCTCTCCTGGATCTGGAACTGCTACCTTGAGCCACGTGGCAGCTAAAAGTGGGGGGTATCTGCTCAGTTGTTCTGGGCTGGAAGGCGGGCCTTGGCATGTGGCTGGCCACACCAAACCAGCGGCACACCCTCCCACTCCCCGGCTGCCTCCTCCCAACTAACCGCACACTGCGGGATGTCTGTCTACATTAAACTAACAGCACTAACTCAGTCGGCCTCTGGTGCTTGTACCACGCGAGCGCTTGAATCCCCGACTTCTCTGCCGCCTCTTCACGAAAGGGACGAGCGCAGCACTGAGAACTCGGCGTGCATCCCAGACAACAAGCATGAGACCGAGACCTGCTTCACCAAAACCAGATAATTTAATAAACTTTCTTCTCATCGAGGGGAGAGGGAGGGGAAGAAAGCCACCTGCTCCACTCCTCTCAATAAATTAAACAGCACACGGCCATTTCCGGGTCCCGAGCAGACGAGGGCACACGGGCCAGCCCGGCTGTTTCCTTATGGCCCGGTCTGCTTCCCCTTCACAGAAGGGAGTTTTTCCTACTGATGCCAGGTCACGTCATGGCCATGGCCACACCCCCTCTGTGGAGAGGCGTCCAGGCCCAGGAAGGATGCTGGGTGCAGCAGCAGTAGCCGGGACAAGAGGAAGGGGTTCTTCCTTTGTGCTCGGGCAGAGGGCAGACCAGGAGAGTGTGGCTGCCGGGTCCTTCCTCCTCAGCTCCCAGCTGCGGCTGCAGGAGACAGACGCACCCCGCCCTCGTGGGGGAATCCCCAGAGGGAGCCCTGGAGCTCATGAGGCCAAGGCCCCAAAGGCAACAGGCTAAGGAATTCAAGAGGCTGGCTCTCCCGGGGCAGAAGAGGCCTCAGCAGCCTTCCGGACTCGGGCCCCCTGCCTTGGGCCACCTGCGGTGTTCCCCCAACCCGCGACAGGCTCCAGGGAGGCCAACCAGCCTTTCCCTCTGCCTCAAAACACACCACATCCCCCCAGTGCTCTCTCAGGCCAGGAGGCTTGCTGGCATCACCCTGATCTGGAGGGCTGAGAGCTGCAGACCCCAGGCCCCACCGTGCTCAGGAAATGGAAGCTCTTTGGTCAGTCCCAGCAGTCAGAGGCCTCCCCACAGGTGACCTTCCACAGGTCGGTCCCCTGGGCAGATCTGCCTCGGGCAGGGGCCTTACTATGGCTTGAGACGGTGCAGTCCCGCACGGTAGCCGGGCTTACTCTGGCCCTGCAACCACATCCTCATCCTCCTCCCCCGTCTCCGTCTTGATCTGGGCAACCCCAAGGCGGTAGAGGGTATCCCGGATGACCACCTCTCCGGGCTGGCAGCTCTGCACAATGTCATGGATCTGCCGGTTGACGATCTCGCGGCTAGTGAGGAAGTCCACGAGGCGGTTGTAGAGGTAATAGTGGGTGGCGTTGTCAAAGGCGATGGGCCGCTGGCGGATGCTGTTTGGTTTGCTGTCCACAAGGGAGGCCACGATGGCTGTGTAGGGAGCCAGCTCGGGGCACAGGGCCAAGGAGCGGTGCCCAGCGCTGGGGTCCCTGGGATTGGGCTGTGTGCCAGCATGAACGACACGCCGTGTAGCAGTCCTGGTGACGGGGTGCTGGACAGAGGGTTCAGCCTCCGTCATATCCACAGCATAATGCTGCTCCAAGAGCTCAGGGCAGGACACGCTCTAGGAGAGACGAGAGGCTGCGGTGACAGGAGGGAGTGACTAGGGCAGAACCCAGGTGGTGGGTGAGAACAGCAGCTGTGACACAGCCAACCCTGTCGACACCCGAGCATCACCACAAGCTGCGTCTCATGGGCCAGGTCCCTGCCCCACCTCCTCCATGCCTTTGCTGCCTCCTGGGAGAATGGGGACAGTGACAGTGGCCACTTCCCAGGGCAAAAGGGGTTCTGACAGAGGTTGAGACACTGTCTCATGGAGCCAGTGAGCCCCAGGTAGTGATGACAATGATGGTCCCTCCAAGGCAAAGCCAGAGGCCTTCACCACCCATAATGCACTTTGGCCAGGGCACTCGCCACCCTTCTTAATTTCCAGTTCTAATTTCTCTTCCAGCAGAGACCAAAGGCCACCCTTGGGAGGCACATGCCTCTGGTAAGAAATATTGCCTGGAGCCAGGCTCGGTGGCTCAGCCTGTAATCCCGCTCTGTGGGAGGCTGAGGTGAGTGGACTGCCTGAGCCCACGGGTTCGAGACCCACCTGGGCAACTTGGCGAGACCTCATCTCTACAATAAATAAAAAAAAATTAGCCGGGCGTGGTAGTGCGCGCCTGTAGTTCCAGCTCCTTGGAAGGCTGAGGCAGAAGGATCGCCGGAGCCCAGCAGGTCAAGGCTGTGATGGCCGGGAGCGGCCACTGCACTCCGGTCTGATTGACAGAGTGAGACTCCAACTCAAAAAAAGAAAAAGAAAAAGAAAAGAAAAGAAAGAAAAGAAATATTGCCTGGTGCAATGTACCCAGACACAGAGACGAGGGCTCTACCACTAATCTGCTGTGTGACCCTGGACAAGCTCATGTGCCCCTCTGGGCCTTCGTTTCCCCTTTTAATCAAAGAAGAGGTTTGGATAAGATCAGTGTTTTCTAAACTGCTGTACTTCCAGACCATAATAGATATGCAACATGGCACAGCCATGGCAAGATCAACAGTATACTGCAGGGCTGGCTGGGCCTTTACTGCATGAGTACGCACAGTGTCTCTCAAAGCTGGTAACTTCCTAGGCTCATCTGGAGGGCACCCTCTTTTAGCACAAGACACCCTTGTCTGGATACCCTGGGCACACTAAGTGATGTGCTATGGCCTCACGTACAGGGGCTGGTCAGTAAAAACGTATGGAGTCAATGCTGCTTGCAGAACGTCAAGACCAAATGCTGCCAGAGGAAAAGGACACTAGAGACAATTCCCAGGGCCCTCAAGAGCAGGGGTGAGATGCAGTCGGCCCGGTCCCTGGGAGGCAACTCACCACGGGTGGCTCCGTGGGGCTGGAGAAACAGCCCTGGTTCCGCCCCCACATCTGGCTGGTCAGCTCTGGGTAGCAGAGGTCTGCACACAGGGCCACTGGTGTGGCCATATCCACCACATAGATAGGTGGCCAGTGGCGGGAGGAGGCTAGCAGGTCCACGTGGTCACGAGCACTCTCACCCCGCACGAGGTACTTGGAGCCACAGACCACCTGGGAAAGGAAGGCCAGGTGGGTCAGGAAGCTGGGCTGTGCACAAAGCATGGCCCTTGCCTCTTTCCAGGAAGAGGCTACCCACCTCACGCCTGATGTGCCAGCTGCTGCAGTTCCTCCTTTCTCTGCCCAAATGGAGTGCCAGCTTCCCTTTGCCCCCAAGGGAAGAGCTAAGAGTACTCTGTCCTCCACATAGCTCAGAAGGCACCTCAGATCCCCTCTGAGCTCCACCCTTCATCACCCTGCCCAGCACCAGCCTCCAGGTCCCAATACTAGCAACACAGCTGGTTCAGAATGGAGATTCCTGGGCCCCATTCACATCTATGAAAGGAAGGTATTGGGGTGGCATCTAAGCATCTGTATTTTGGGCAATCTCCCTGCCAGCCCTGATGCACTCCCAGTAGGAACCTCTGACTAGTCCAGCACACGCCCCCACACTGAAGGCCCCGCACTGTCCCCCTGCTGGACAGCCCCAAGAATGCTAGGGAACTGGCCTCCACACCCACCTAGCTGCCGCCCCCTACCACCCTGCAAGGCCATGCCCAGCCAGCCCAGGATCTATAGCTCTCACTCGTGTGTCATCACGGGCTTCTTGACAGGGAACGGTCACACAACCCTCCTAGCGGGCTCTGATGTGCCCAGGGCAGAAGCATCGAGCATCTGCCAGACACAGCTTGCCAGAGTCAGGTGACCTGGTTCTCTTCTGACAGCCAGGCACCCTGGTACACGAGTCTCGGCGAACCCAAGGCTCTGCTAAGCACCTCTCCCCCACTCAGGACCTGCCAAGTGGGTTTGCCGTCCCAGGATCTCCTTGGGCCATTCTGTCATCTGGTACACAACCCTTCCCAGAACTAACCCAGTGCCACCCATCCACAACCACCCACAGATGTGTGGCCGGACCTCCCTAAAACCCAAATCGGACCACGCCCCCATGTTTCCCATTCAAAATGCTCAGCAATCTCAGATCCTGCAATACTCTCAGAACACGATCCAAACTATGGCTCTGGCCTAGAAAGCTCCGTGTGATCTGGCCTCTGGTGATTCCTCCTGGCTCCCTTTCTCGCCACACAGAACCCTGAGTGCCCCTGGGTGGGTCCTTCAATGTCCTTCAGGCCCCAGTCTTCTTTGGTTGCCTCACGGAGCAGGCTCCTCCCTGATACTGTCTGTATTAGGCCTTAGCGTTCCTTGAGAGCAACTGCCACAGGCTGTGGTGACTTATTCCCTCTAAAATATGAGGTCATCTGGGGAGGATGTCTTTTTTGCTCAACTGTGCCCTCCTCAGCTGGTGTGGGGCCCAGCATATGGCTGGGTATTTCTGGTGCTTCATAAATAGTTGCTGACGGAAGGGAAGGCCCAGGCTCCTCCCCAGCCCAAGAGTGACACTGACCCTGGGCAGTTACTACACAGGTCACCCAGCAACCCAAGCCTAGCCCCAAAGGCTGAGCTGGATCGGGGCCATTCAACATTACAGCTTCCCTCCCAGCCCCTCACCATCCTCTCACCTGATGGGGGCACACCTTGTAGACTTTACCACCTGTGAAATGAGGTGGGGGCTGTCTGGACCTGGCTCCATTCTGTACAGACTCGTAGAGGGCCAGTAAGGATAAGCAGAGCTGATCCTGGAGTGGAGGGGCAAGAATGAAAGAAAACACAGAGTGAAAGCTAAGACAGACCTGGTGTCCCGGGTCAAGTGCTCACTGTAACACACAGAGCAAAAGAACTGATGGCCATGGTGTGCCGTGGAGCCTCCCTAGCCCAAGCCCCTCTGGGTATAGGGGACAACAGAGGTCCCAAAGGCTTCAGGTCCTAGACAAAGCCAGCCAGATGGATCAAGCCACCAGACTCTGAGTCCCTCACTTTTCATAGGGCAGAGAAAACTTCAGAAAGAAGATAACCTGAACTTGAAGGAAGCATAACATTTTTAGTAGCACATACCTAGCAGGAAACTAAGTAATGTACAGATCAAACACATATTCCTAACAGCAGGTACTTTCTATGGCACGGACAAGTGACAAGCAGACACTGTGCAGCTCATTCTTTACAGCCCCCTCAGGAAGCTGCATGCTGGTTACTTCCGTTTTACAAATGAGGAAAACAAAGCTCAAATGAAGGCAGTTTACCTGAGGGACACAGGAAGCAGGAGAGTCAGGCTTCCCAGCCCCAGAGCCCAGGCCTCTGAGGCATGGCACCACTGGCTGCTGCCACCTCTCAGGCCCCCTTCCTGTCTGTGGCGCCCTCTGCCCAAGGTAAGTGCCCAGTCCGGATGTTCACATCCTGCCCTGAAAAGCGGACCAAACAGGCTACCCAGAGCCTGGTCCCCAACACTGTCCAGTCCTCACCTTGGAGTCTTCCACCCGGAAGGGGACACCACACTGCCTTAGTAGGTGCTGTAGCTCCTCCTCACCGTAGGAGCCAATCTCCTCCAGCCTGCAGGCGCCCTCCTGGAGCAGCCTCACCAAGACACTGCCACTGCCTGCAAGAGATGCAGTGTTAGGAGGAGGGTGCTGCCACCAGGCCTGGCCAGGCCCTGTGCGTGCAGCTGTAAGCAGGGGGCTAGACCCACAGGACAGTAGATGGCGGAGGCCAGCTTGGCCCTGAACCCCCCTGGGTGCTGGCAAAAAATTAACTTGAACAGGTCTGTGCCTTCTGCAGACCTGGGAAGTCCCTTAGAACCGGATTCCTGCCCTGGAACCCTGCAGACAGGTGCTGCAAAGAACCCTGAAATAAGTCAGCTTTTAATCCAAAGTCTTCAGAGGTTTTTGAGAACCAAGACCACAACTGCAGCAGAAAGAGAAGCAACAGTGCTCACTTCAAAAAGGTTCCCTCTACACCATGCTCCCAGAGCCAGCTGAAACGAGAGAAATATGTGGGGCCTTAATGCAAAAAAATGGGGAAAAATACGATTTTGCGAGGGTGGTTCCCATTACAGATGCACAAGCATGTGCCTATGGACAACACCATTCTGGGCTGTGACACAAAGCCTATATCTCACTGTGAGCAGCTGTTAGAAAGAACAGAGGCCTCGGTCAAATGGCATTAGCTAGCGTGATTGTCATACCCACAAGGAGGTGGGGAACCAGCACCATGCCCTCTTTGGAAATGAAGCTACAGAGGCTCAGGGCAATGAAGAGACTGCCCGGAGGTCACAGAGCTACTAAGAGGCAGAGTGGAGACTCAAACTCAAATTGTCAGAGCCCTGTGCTCTTCACGGCTAACCCAGAACTTGTTGGCATATGATCCACAAGCCATCAGCAAAGCTACAGGAAAGACCAATTGCAGGCAGATCCCTTGGCCTCCCTCACACCTTCTCAGTGAGAATCTTCAGGCTTGGAGCCCCTCCTGGGCACGTCTACAGCCTTCTCAACTCGGTACACCCCAGAGCTAAGGTAAGTTGTGTGTCCTCCTGTGCAACATGGCTGACAGCTCTCCACACCCTGCACCACAACCCTAACCTCTGGGGACTCTGTCACAGGCTATGCTTATCTTTCTAGAAGGCATCCTCTAGGCAGGCTTGGCCCTCTACCCCAGTGCTATCCTGGTGCAATGGTGTCCCCGACTCCTGACAGAGCCTCCCCTGCCCCATCAGTCGCCAGGCAGCCTTACCAGGCACTGGTCGTGCATCTGGGTTTTTGTCTTTCTCGGTGTTGACGACCACAGCTCCTCTCATAAGTGGTGGAAAGAAGGGGGCAATCACAGAGGCATCAAACTTGGTGATGGGGATGCTGGCAGGGAATGCCACCTGCTCAATCACCTCTGTCTCCATCGTGGCCCAGAAGTCCTCCACGTTGACCTCGCTGGAAGCCAAGTATTCAGGCCAGGTGAACTAAAAAGTCAGGATGAGGAAGGTCAAGATGCAGGAGCCACCCAACAGTCTATCCCTTCATTACACATGTTCACGGGAAACCAAGGTTCAGCGAGGGAGAGTCCGACAGTCATTTCCAGCCAAGGTGCCCTAAATTTGACAACTTCATACCTAGCTGTCTTGTGGCCATGTTTCCTCCTCCCACACCATGGCCCTCTCCCAGACCCAAACCATCCCTAAGTCCCTCTACTTCTGCATCTTTGTGTCATTTTCCCTGTCTTGCAAGGAAAGAGGAGCTACCATTTAAGCACCTGTTATGCACCAGATACTTCTTAACAAGTACCAAAAACAAGTCTGGGGGATGTCAGAGGTGGGACTACTAGAGTAAAGGACAGAACAAGAACAGGAACCAAAGACTAGTTCTAGAGCTGAAGCCCATATTCCCAAGGCCTGGCTGGAAGCACAAGCAGAATTCTATTATAATGAGGAAAGTCGTAGCCATCTCCCTGGGCACTGCAAATGCCTCACCTCTCCCAGAAAGCACCCCCAGACTTCGTCAGCACACAGCTATCTCCTCTACCCCATCAGCAGTTCCTCATCACCAGTCACCCAGCACATGTGCTGCTCAGTTTTTCTTCTTGCAATGCCTTCTTACATGGTCCTCGAAGTGTGACCTTAATCCTAATCCTCCTTGATCACAGCCATCCATAGATGTTACTTATTGGAAAAGCAACACCCAGGCCACATCTCGATCTGATGAACTAAATCCCTCACTTTGCGTTTTAAAGCCCCCCCAGGTGAAGGATTCTCAAAGAGTGGTTCCAGGACCGGGAGCACGAGCATCACCTGAAAGCTTGTTAGAAATGCATTCTCGGCCCCCACGCCAGACCTACTGAGTCAGAAACCCTATGATGTGGTCCAGCAAGTTCTCTACTGCCCTATGCAGTTCTCACACCCACAAAGGCCTGAAAAACACTGCTCTCACAAAGTCTCTCCCCCATCTCACTCCTCCTTGTTCTCCCCTCCCATGGCACTTGGTGCAGGCTGTGAGCATATGGCATGCCCAAGGGATGGGGCCACTGAGTCCACCCTCTGCACCAAAGCAAGGGGCCAGGAAATACCAACCAAGTGTGCCCCCTTCTCACAATCCTTGGGGGAGGGGCCGGCGTGTCTCCCCATGTACAGCAGCATGTCTGGGTTTTGGTCAGTGACTTCCTGTTCTAGTTCATAATCCTCAGGATATCCCTTTCCCCAAATGCACAATACCTCTCTCCACATACACAAGAGGGAAAGAAAGTCCCGGTTTCTCAGGAAGAAGCACCCAGAACCACAGACAGAAGAAACATGCAACTGACAGTGAGAAGAATGAGTACTACTGCATCCGGGAACAGAGGAGCCTTGAGTTGCACCGGCCAGGTGCCAGGCAGGACTAGGAGACGTGACCTGGGCAGATAGGCAGGATGCTGTTTATTCTGGAAACCAAACTCGCTGTGGCCACAGTTGGAGTCCCAGGAGCAGGCTCTGTAATGGGCTGGACCTGGCAGGTCCTTCTCAGCCGCACCCCTGCCTTGTTGGGTAGGCTGGGGCATGCTACTCAGGGCTTGGTGCCTATACCTAGACACACCTCACGGGGCTGTGGGGAAAATTAAGTCACATAATAAAGCACTTTGCACAGACTGTGAACTCAGCATAAGTAATAAAATGCTCAATAAATCTTAGCTGTTCTAATCTTAACACATTCGCAAGCAGCAAATTTTTCACTTTCCTAATAATGATAGCAGGTGAAAATAAAAAAAAAAAAAACCTGAAGCTGGTTGCCAGAAACTTCTCCAATAAGCACAAGTGAAATGGTCTTTTCTAAATTGCCACCTTTTTCATAATACAGTTGAAAGTTTCAGACATATCCAGTATTTGCCGGAAAACAACACTCTACTAGCATTCCTTACTTTGTTTTTTTATTCAGATTATAAACCCAAAAGACAGTCTTCCACAATGTGGTAAATTAATGTCAGCGGTAGCGAATGAGTTAATATTACCATTAGGCTAGCAGATTTAAATGAATCTAGAAATAGCTTCTTGGTGAGTTAACACACAAAAGAAGTGTTTTTGTTTTTTTAAATTACGAAAAAAAAGACAGGAATATGCAATAAACCCCTCATATGTCTACCCATCCTCTAGAGGCTCAACACCTGCTAGGCAGTGGACACAAGAGATGCAAGTCCAGTGCCAAAGAGTCACCTCCCGTCCCCATCCTCTTGTTAACTGCGGGAGAGTCCAGAGATGGAAGCTCGCACCCTAGGGTGCCACAAGCATACTCAAGGGGCACTCTATGTCTGTGATGCACGACCAGGGGAGGACGACTTGCCGGGTTTCTTACAACCCTACAGAAGGCTGAGGACAATTCCTTGCTATTCTCAGCTTGCTAAGAGATTTATCATCAGGGGTACTGATCACGCAGAAGGCCCCCCGCCCTTTTTTTTTTTTTTTTACATGTAATGAAACAATCATGTGGATTTTCTCCTCTAATCTTTTTTTTTTTTTTCCCTTGAGTTGTGGTCTTGCTCTGTCACCCAAGCTGGAGTGCAGAGGCATACTCATGGCCACTGCAGCCTTGACCTGCTGGGCTCAGGCGATCCTTCCACCTCAGCCTTCCAGTAGCTGGAACAACAGGTGCGTGCCACCACACCTGGCTAATTTTTTGACTTATTGTGGAGACAAGATCTCGCCAAGTTGCCCAGGCTGGTCTCAAACCCATGGGCTTAGGCAATCCTCTCACCTCGACCTCCCAAAGTGCTGGGATTACAGCCACTGCACCTGGCTCCTCTAATCTGCTAAGTAGGGAATTAAACTGGTATATTTTCTGATACTGAAACAGCTCTGTCTTCCCATGATCAGCCTGGTCATGACGCACGACCTCATTTAGTCAGGTCTCACATGCTGTGACCCTATCAGGGCTCTGAATCTGTACTCATGCATCCGGCCAGTCCCAATTCCCTCTATTAAATGTCTGGTTTTGTTTTCAGCATTCTACAGTCTTAGACAATGAGCTGGGGAAATGTCACTTTGACTCCTCTTCTCCTATGACTGGAATCCTATTTCTTGGATACTCTTCTCCTATGACTGAAATCCTATTTCTTGGATAATTAATCTATGCATCCATCTCGACTTGGTGTTATTGTTGTGTGAAAATTTTTTAATTCAGAACCGAAGTCAGCTCTGGCCACTCTTGTCCTCCACCCCCAGCAGTGGCTCTCCATTTCACTCTGTGGCAGTCCTGCTGATGGCCTGTGTGTTCCTAGGGTCGGCCTTCTGCAGCCTCTGACCTCACACTGCCCATCGTTCACTCCAGCCATACCAGCCTCCTTGCTATTCCTTAATCACGCCCAAGCCCACCTCAGACCCTGCTCCTGCTTCTCCCTCTGGCTGGACTATTCTTCCCAGAAGCTACATGGCTCTCAGAATGGACCGTGTCAGAGAGGACTTCTGACTGCCCTGTGCACAGGAACGCCCCCCTTCGCCCCCCAACCAGCTGCCCTATGCCTCCCAGTGCCATTCCTACTACACGGGCATTTGTTTCCTGGGTCCTGAAATCAAATGTGAGCTCCATGAGGACAGACAGAGCATTGAGTCTGTTAACTCCCAGGTAGCTCAATGCATTTTCTGAATGAATGACTGAACAGGCAGCAGCCTCTGATTCCACTTGGCTTTCCTTAGACGAAATCCTGGGCTAAGGCGGGAAAAAGCCACTTGCCTCATCTGGACAGGACTGGAATCACCCACCCGGGGCCATAGCAGGAGGAACTGCCAGATGAGGAGTGCCCTGGTGTCTTCATGGTGGCTGAGAGGCCCTTACCTCCACGCTCTTCAGCGCCAGCACATTCTCCTCACTCCTCTGCGCCATCTCCACTTTGGGGGCCACACCACAGATGCCACAGATCATGTCATTGTAGTCCCGGACTGTGAGGCACTCAAAAGCCCAGTAGCCGTTGCTCAGCAGTTCCTGCAGCTGGCGCAGCTCCTCCGGTGCCAGTGTCTTCTCTGGAAGGACAGCAAGACACTGAGAAGGCCCCAGAGAAAGACCCTAAAGCCCCCAGGAATGAGCTGACGGCCAGCAAGAACAGCAGTTCAGCAAGACTGACTCTCCACAGGTGCTACCAACCTTGAGGCCAGGCACCTGCTCCAAGAGCTCAGGCAGCAACCCCAAGTGAGTGATAGCTGCCTTGTGCTATGCACCTACTAGCTATGCTGAGAACTATGAACACGTCATCTCATTTAGTTCTCACATGAATTTAGTTTTTTATGAACCAGTAGCTATAATTATCCTCATATGACAACTGGAGAAACAGAGGCACAAGAATAATTTGCTCAAAATCACATGGCCACTAAGTGGCAGCGCTAAGCTCAAATATAGGCCCATGGAACACCAGTGCCTTTGCTTTGCTCCATCTGTCCCCATAGCAAGTGAGGTATGGGGGCTTGGATATACCCAGGACGGCCCACCCTCAGTCTCAGCATGAGCCTTGGGCCTGGAAGCAGACACTGGCTGTGTTCAGAATGTGTCTGACACACACAGTGGGCCAAGTCCACCTACAACTACAGGATGTACTTCTATACATCAGCTGTAATCTCTTGCTGGGGGTCCCTGGATGCCAGGAAAGACTCATTTGGAATTTATAAAATTCAAAAGAAGAGTGTGCTAAGAAGTCAAGAACGTTCCTTTTCAAAATAATCAGACTCTCCTCCAATATGACTCTTTTAGCCAAAGTCCAGCCCTGATAATCTCCAGGGAGCTTTGGACTAACATTGGGAAAGGGAGGAAGCACCTGTACCTGTCTGCTCCTGTACCGACTTCAGAACCACATGGACAGACACTCTGGGGTCCTCCCCCAGCTTGATCTGGTTTCGGATTGCAAAAAGCAAGTCCAGGCTCACCAGCAGCTTATTCCCCACGTTAAAGAGACCTGCAAGTTAAAAAGAGGCAACAAGGTAATTCACAGACCATTACCCACCAAGGCAAAAAAGAGAAAACAAACTAGCCGGTGTGGCAGCATGTGCCTGTAGTTCTAGATATTTGGGCAACTGAGGCACGAGGAGGAACCCAGAAGATTGAGACCAGCCTGGGCAACACAGCAAGAGATCCCCCATCTCAAAAAACAAACAAAAATTAAATACAAACAAACAAAAACACACAACTGAATGCTCATCAATAGTGGAGCAGTTAATTTATGGTGCATTCATAAAAAACTATGCATCATTAAAAAGAGTAAAGTATCTGGATACGGTAGCTAACACCTGTAATCCCAGGACTCTGGGAGGCCAAGGCGGGAGGATCACTTGAGGCTAGGAGTATGAGACCAACCTGAGCAACACAGTGAGACCTGGTCACAGCAACAACAACAAAAATTAAAATATTAGTCAAGTGGTACATGCAGTGGAAGGCTAAGGCCAGAGGATACCTTGAGCCTAGGAATTGGAGGCTGCAGTGAACGATAATCATGCCACTGTATTCCAGCCTGGGCAACATATCAAGATCCTGTTTCTTAAAAAAAAACAGACAAAGAAGTAGAACTGACTGTTCTGACACAAAGTTGCCCACAATACATTATTAAATGAAATAAGCAAATAATGAAATAACATGTGTAGTCTCCCCCGTACCCCCAAAAGGCAGAATTTCCCTATCACTCAGTTTAGTCCCCAGGACCAACAGTCCTCTACATGTGACACAACCGCACCTGGGGAAAGACCTGGAGCACCTTTTATCCCAGGAAGGATAAAGAGAGGCCACAAAGGCTATAAAATCACCCCTACACCAAAGTCTGATAAAATATTCAAAGGAATTTAAATGTAGTCCATTTAAGACAAATCAAAGAGGGTGATTTTATGTTCACACAAAATATAATACACAAATCTGCACAAAAGCTAACTCTGGACTATGCACTCCCAATAAAGGCACAGAGGAGTGCAGAGGCTGAAACCATAAGGGAGATCAAAGTTCAGCCACATAAAGGGTAAAACAAAAAGCATACAAATCTTAGTGTCCCAAAAATCACCAAACACAAATCTGAAAGATAGCTGATAAATTCACAACAGAGAAAAAAAGTACACTTTTCCTAGTAATCAAATAAACAAATTAATGAATGATATGCCAGGTGTTACCTACCAAATTGACAAACTAAAAAACTACAACCTACAAAAAGTTCCTAGAGCTAATAAGTGAGTTTAGCAAGGTCACCGAATACAGTCAACAGACAAAACTCAGTCATATTTCTATACCAGCAATGAGCATTTGGAAACTGAACCATGTCATTTAGCACTGAAAAGAAAAAACAAAAAAACAAAAACGTAGGTATAAATTTAACAAAATATGTGCAGGACCTGTATGCTGAAAATCACAAAAACTGATGAAAGAATGAAAGAAAATCTAACAAAATGGAGAGAAAGACCATGTTTGTGAACTAGAAGACACAACATATTTAAGCATGTCACATTTCCCCAAATTGATAGATCAAACACAATTCCAATTAAAATTCTAGCAGGGACCAGGTGTGGTGGCTCACACCTGCAATCTTAGTACTTTGGGAGGCCAAGGCAGGAGGATCCCTTGAGACCAGGAGTTCAAGACCTGCTTAGGAAGTATAGTGAGATCTTGTCTCTACAAAAAGTTAAAAAAAAAAAAATTAGCTAGGCATGGTGGCACATTCCTATAATCCTAGCTACTTGGTAGGCTGAGGAGGGAGGATCGCATAAGCCCAGAAATTTGTGGCTGTAGTGAGCTATGACTGCATCACTATACTCCAGCCTGCAAGACAGAGTGAGACCCTCTCTCAAAAACAGAAATAACACACACACACACACACCCTTATGAAAGGACTTGTAGCCAGACAATATAAAGAAATCTTAAAATTCAAGTAGGAAATCAACAAAATTCAATGGACTAAAGATGTGAACAGACACTTCACCAAGGAAGACGAACAAACATACATCATTAGTCACTGGAGAAATAAAAATTAACCCTTTGCAATTGGATGGCCCCTGTAAGGGGCATGGTAAATCTAGCAAATCACTTGGAAGTCCCCTCTCAGGGGACATAAAAAGATTGTTGGTGATTATACAGGACAAACTTATGCAAGAACAAATTTTTTTAAAATGTATGTTTCCTTAAAGTTTTCCATTCAAATTGCACAAAAAAGCAAATAACGAGATGATATATATACCAAGATATGATCCATCAGTTGAGAACTAGTTTTCAGGAATCATGAGTGCATCATTCCAAATTTTTGAACAACAGACTGATCAGTAAATTACACATTATTAATGTGGAAGGAAGGAAATGAGACTGCATTGCCTGCTCAAATAGAAAAACACCAGGAGGAAGATGTCAAATATTATTGAATGATTATTTATGTCGGTGACTGTTTTACACATTACCACATATTAGAAAAATATAATACATAAAATTTTGATTTTTTCATAAGTAAGTTCCTCAATGTCCCAAATTCCATTTTAAGCCAAATATCATTACAAAAAAATAACTGGTTCCAATGCTATACATTTAATATGAAGTGATTCATTTTTCACTACTTCATAAAAAATGTGGTCAAGTTGCTGGTAGGTGATCCGTGAGATGTCTCTGAGAGCAAAGGGCTAAAATAATACCAGACTACTACTAACCTATACACCTAACTTACCAGAATGGCTGAAAAATAAAACGACAACGCTGAGTGGTGGCATGCAGAGCAAACTAGAACTCCCACACATTGCTGAAAAGAACACAAAACATATGGCCACTTTGGTAATGCAGTTTCGTATACAATTAAACATACTCTCACCACATGGTCCAGCAATCTGACTTGTGGGTATTTACCCAAGAGAGATGAAAACTCAGGTTCACACAAAAACCTGTACACAAGTGTCTGCAGCAGTTCTTTCTGTACCTGCTGAACACTGGCAGTGTGCCAAACACCCTCCAACGGGGAGGGACAAGCAAGCTGTGGCATGTCTGCACAGTGGAAGACAACTTAATAAAAAGGAACCAGTGGCATAAACAACACATACGAATGTCAAAGGATTACGCTTACAGAAGGATGCCAGACTCAAAGGCGACATACTATTACTGTGTTTACGCAACGTTCTGGAAAAAAGAAAACTAGCAGGATGAGATGAGATGGTCACCAGAGAGAAAAGATGGACTGGACTACAAAGGAACAGCACAAGAGAATGTTTTGGGGTCATGGACCTGCCCTATATATTGATTGTGAAGGCAGATATACAACTCAGTACATGTCAGAATTCACAGAGCTAAAAACAAAGTAAAAAAAAAATTTTTTTTTTTTTTTAGTTGGAGTCTCACTCTGTTGCCCACACTGGAGTGCAGTGGCACAATCATGGCTTACTGCAGCCTTTACCTCCTGGGTTCAGATTATCCTTCCACCTCAGCCTCCTGAGTAGCTGGTACTACAGGCATGCATCACTATGCCCAGCTGAATTTCTGTACAGATGAAGTCTTGCTATGTTGCCTAGGCTGGTCTTGAATTTCTGGGTTCAAGTAATCCTCCCTCCCACCTTGGTCTCCCAAGTGCTGGGATTATAGGTGTGAGCTACCACACCCTGCCCCAAGTAAATTTTATTATATGTAAGTTTAAAAATAAATTTTAATTAAAAAAAAATACACGATCCTGAGTACTGCCCTAGATAGGGAAATAGGCTCTTAATCTGCTGATACAAGACTTCTTAAAAACATGAATTCAAAACAAGGTAACATAAGGCACTTAAGACAAGGAGAATAAATAAATACCCTTTAGTCTTCAGCACTCAATTGTACATGTAACACTCAGAATTCAACCAAGCTCTCACAAGTGACTGCACGTGCTAAGTGCTTAATAAACACTTGGGAATCGATGGATAATGGAGAGGAAGGACAAACACTAGCAACCCCGTTCTCAAGGAGGTACACACAGACTTAATTATAAACAGGGCTGTGGAGTGCCACACACGCCTTTAGAAATGGCTGTGTATTTCTCTGCTTGCTGAACAGAAAGATGACCATGATACACTGCTGAATTAAAATAGCACTTTCCAGAACAACTTACAGCACAACCTCACTCTTGTTCAAAGAAAAACTAAAAACCTATAAATGTGTCCATAACTTCTTATATTCTGCACAGATGAATAAACACATCTGGAAGATTAGTGAATGCACTGTTAAGCATTAATCTCACGGCAGTAGGATTACCATTGACTTCTAGTTTCCTCTTTTTTATTTATCTGCATTTTCCAGCTTTTGCACAATGAAGATCTATTACTTTAAAATTAACTTTATTCGAAAGATCTCGGATAGGAGTCTCAATACTTGAAAGGTATCATCTCCTGAGGCCGAGACATTCAGAGGAATGGCCCTGCCTGAGAGGAGGGTCAGTGCTCCCAGGACTAGAGTCCGACTGCAGTGGCATTCTCAAGCCTGCTTCGGGGTGCTCTGAGTGAAGAGAAAGTGGATACCCACCTGTGTAGATGTCCATGAAGCTGTGCAGGGCCAGGCAATGAGGGTTCAGACACATCTTCACTTGGGCAGTCACTGTTTGTAGCCGACTGGCGGTCAGCAGCCAGCACTCCTGGGGCCCAGCCAGGGAGCTAGTACCAAAGGCATCACCACAAAAACAGAAGGGAAATCAACTTCTTTATGCAGTTCTAGGGTTTGGTGGTCAACAGCAAAATTCTTAAGACTTTACTGCAACAGGCAAATGTGTGGGGCTTGGGACCTAAGGTTTTCACCTTGCTGGAATCTGGAATCATTCCTATAACTGATAGAACTCGGAGTGTTACACGCTTTAACCAATTCCAATGTACTCCTGAACACTATGCTCGATGGTCCAGATGCCACCAAATCCTAAGCTGGTGACAGCTTTCAGGCATGGCAACAGAAATGATCATTACTAGTTCTTACTTTACTCTCAGCAATTGGAAAGGTAAAGGAAGTTCAAGGAAAGCAGAGACTAATATGCTCACAGGTGACAACCTTCAAGTGTCTGTGGCAAGGGGCAGCATGAGCCAAGCAGGATGGGGTGGCCAGGGCGAGGGAAGGGATGCTTACTTTTGTCCCCCTTTGAATAGTGGGCTGCTACAGAGAAGGCACTGCATGGATGGAGACTCGTAATAATTCGACCACGAGGTCTGCTCGATGGTGACTGTTTCCTCACTCACGTTGGACAGGATAAGTCGAGAGCTGTTGAGCTCATGAATCAGGGCAAAGACCTCGGCCAGTTCTGACTCGTTCTCAGGAATCTGCAGGACCTTGCGCAGCAGCTGCAGCGTGGACTGGCGCTGGATCTCCCTCTGGGCTGCACTCAGGGGCTCTGTGACATTCAGCATATCTGGGAGTGGTGAACTCGCCTCCTGGGAAGAGAGTAGACCCAGAGCAGAAAAAGCTGGCCTTGGGGTGAAATGATGAGTCTGTGAGTAGCAGGCAGATGGGCCCACTATGGAGAGGGAAATTCGGACTCCCAGTCAGCTCAGCTACTAACTCACTGTGTGTCCAAAGACTGGTGCTCTCTCTGGCACTCAGTTTCTCTACAGGTTAAGCACCTCAGTCTGAAAATCTGAAATGCAAAATGCTCCAAAATGCTAAACTTAAAAAGCACCAACATGACACTCAAGGGAAATGCTTACTGGAGCAAATTTAGATTTTAGATTTATGAATTATGAATGCTCAATCAATATGCGTCCTGCAAACATTCCTAAATGTGAAAAAATCCAAAATCCGAGCACTTCTGGTCTCAAGCATTTTGGATAATGCTCAAACTGTATTGTAAAACAAGAGGACTATATGTACCTCTTGGTATGGATTCAACAGTCGGCTCCCACCTGTTAAAATGGAGTTGGGAGGATCACAGGACTGGGTTCAGTTCTAGCTATGACACTAACAGCTGTACATGTGGAATGCAAGGCAATTTACATAATCTTTCTGAGCCTCAATTTCCTCATATGTGAAATGGAGTATAAAAATACTCGTCATCTCCTAGAGCTACTGTACCGAGTGAGTCTTGCAAGTAAAAGCACTTAGTACAGTGCCTGTGATGCAGTGAAGACTCCATGAATGGTGGTTTTGATATACAAAACAAGTATCTGTAATTCCTTGTGGCTTCCAGCTACAGAGGAATTTTATATATACAAGTCAGAGGCTTCAGAACAATGTTCTGAAACACTCATTAAAAACAGGCCCTTCTCAAGCGGGTCTCTTTGGATGGAGGTGCCTCCCAATCCTGTCTGCCAATGCAGCACCAATCACTCCACTGTTATTGCTCCCAGAGTGCACCAAGTGACTGCAGGATTCATCATCTGAGAGCTGCTAAACAACTGTCCTCCCTCCTCAGTAAGGCCAGGGTCCTGTATATGTACTGATTCCCAATACCAGCATGATGCCTGGGGCACACCAAAGATGCTGATTCGTATTATTTTTTTCTTTTTAAATCACTTAAGTACTTGCCTCATGCCGGACATATTATATGCTGCTTTGCAAAAGTGCTTAATTATACAGTTTGGATTTTATCCTCACTAAATCTGAAGTTGAAACATAATCCCCAATGTTGGAAATGTGGCCTAAAGGGAGGAGTTTGGGTCACAGGGGTGAATCCCTCATGAATAGATTAATGTGGGGGTGGAGGGTAAATGAGTTTTGCTTCTTCTCTTGCCACATGACCTCTGTATATGTGGGCTTCCTTCACCTCCCACCATGAGTGGAAGCAGCCTGAGGCCCTTACTGGAAGCAGATGCCAGTGCCATGCTTCTTGTACTGTCTGCAGAACTGTAAGCCAAATACAAAGTTTGGTTTCATGTGATAAAATATAGTGACTTCACACTTATCATAAATCTGAAAATATATTTATATTTTTCACTTATTTATACATTACCCAGCCTTAGGTATCCTTTTTTTGGCAACACAAAGACTGAGACACCTGACAACAGAGAGAGTTGGTTCCTGAAACTCTGCATACCTACCACAACTTTTGCCTGTAACAGTTTGGCTACTTATCTTTCTCCCTGACTAGACTGTCAGTTCCTCAAGGGAAGGGGTTGTGTCTTCTTCATCTCTGAAAGCCTGGCCCATAGTAGGCACTGAGGTCATGCTAGCTGAAAGAACGAATGAATGGCTGCAGAAGAGCTGACTGACACAAGAGTGAGCTGCCTAAGAGGGAGTGTGTTCCCAGGCATGACCACACTGAACCATGAGCTGGAAGACCATCAGCAAGAATACCCTCCGCTGGCTCTGAGTCAGAGACAAAGGCAGCAATGACTGAGGACCACGGCTCAGGGATGTATGCAGTCTTGATTACAGTAGCTGAAGACCAACCGCATGGGGGCTCCAAAGGGCAATACATACAAAGGCCCCTGAGTTTCTGACCAGGGTTTTATTTTGTGGAAAACAATAATTACATTTCATGTCTCCAAACTTTCAGAGATTAGAGGGTGAGAGAATGTCTAATGATGAGGGAAGGTCTGAAGATGAGGGTCCTGGGGATAGGCAACTATCAATTAACCAAAGACAGGGATATAAATAAGAGTGGGATTTGAAATCAACTGACAAGACGTCCCTAGATCATTCCTGCCTGACCTGTGAAGTTACATCACTTCATTATCCTAATCTAGAGACAACATCCACTTCCATACTGCAAACCACACAAAGAGTTTAAATTAAATGGAAGGAGAAATGAATGCTCAGAGCATCGGCCTACATAGAACTTATTTAATTCCACCCAGTAATTACAGATGGACATGCACTGTGCACGCAAGTTCCAGGATTAGAAGGTGTGGGGGAGACAGACCTGCCCTAGAAGAGATCATGGTCTCAGACTCACTGCCAGAAAAGCTTCTCTCCATTCACAGAGAAACCTTTAGCTGGAAATGGTTCTCCTCATCTCTCTTGTCCTGTCTACTACCAAGTTCCCCTAAATCCCCTCTTGAAATAGCTCTCCTCAGGCCTTTCTCTGACTGGAGAAGCCCTGCCTAAAGAACTGCCTAGTCTGGCATTTGAGACCCTCTGTGATGTGGTCCCAACATGGTTTTCAAGTCTTACTTTCCTTAACACACTCCGTCCCCTTTCTTCTCCAGCCACATGGAAGCTCCTCATCCATTTGTACTCAGGCCTGTCCTCAGGATGGAACACCCCCCTTCTATCCTGACCCTGCACCCTTTTCAAGGCCCAGCTGAGGGCTAGAGTGGCCAGGCTCCTCTCAGATCCTGACTGTGTGCCACTTCTCTTCCCCAAGGCACATCGACGACATTTCTCTTCTTACCCTCATTTTAGTCACTCTATTTGCTGTCTCAAAGTGCCATCACTGCCTGTTCACTTTAAAAAGCTCATGTGAGGTTGAGTGCGGTGGCTCACAACTATAATCCCAGTGCTTTGGGAAGCCAAGGTGAGAAGACTGCCTGAGCCCACGGGTTTAAGAGCAGCCTGGGCAACTTAGCGAGACCTCGCCTCTACAATAAATAAAAAAATAGCTGGGAGTAGTGGCACATGCCTGTAGTTCCAACTACTTGAAAGGCTGAGGCAAAAGGATCACCTGAGCCCAGCAGGTCAAGGCTGTGGTGGTCGTAGGTGTGCCACTGCACTCCAGCCTGGGTGACAGAGTGAGACTCCAATTCAAAAAAATAAAAAGCTCATGTATGAAAATTCTGAGGATCTCTGGAAATGCCCATTTTTTTCCTGGTTCTAATGATAATTTTAAAAAGAGCCCTAAGGAGCCAAAAGGAATATACTTTACTATCCAGGTAATTTGGTTCAACTTCAGAGAGCAGGACTGCCAAGACTGCTAGAAATAAAGCTTTGTGATTAGCCAAAAGCTCTGCAAGGAACCTGAGAAAGAAGTGGGGATCTCATCTACAAAGTCTTAGGGTTGGCATTCTCCAACTATTTGCCTAGAGAATAAATCAACGTATGGCACCTGTACAAGGTCACAGAGGTAAGAGGATGTACCCCTTTCATCCATCTCTGCTTCTGAATCCTATTTAAGGCCTGAGCTACCATTGTCTTCAGTGAGCCAACTCTTAGTTCTCATAGATAATGTTACCTGGTTGACACTCTCTCCCTGGTTATGGGGACAGGGAGGCCCAGAAAGCAGGCAGCCATGTGCTTAAGTTCAGGTTCAGAACTCACAAACCTAGTTCTAGTTCTGATGCTCTAACTACTATCACGTATTTAAAAATCTTGTTGTTTCTACTAAAACAGGTTCGCTAACAAAGCCCAACCCATGACCAGGGGACATGTGTGGAGAAGGAACTCACGACAGCTTTGGTGGTTTTCTCAGTCCGGTCTTTGGTAAGGTTGAAACCACAGCTGGGACAAATCCGAGGTTTGTGCCGGTTGGTGTAGACATAGCTACAAGAGGGGTTTTTACACTTTCCCCGGCCTCTCGATGTAGCCAGGCCCAAGTCCTAAAAAAGTAAGACCAACATTCAATTCTACAAAGTCAGGTTAAACCTGGACAGAGCCCAGAACCGGGATGCGTAGCTGCCAGTAAGCAAAGACAGTGGCAACCGCAAACCAGGTCTAGTCCAGCTTCTCAAGAGCCTTGCCATGAGATTCCCTTTCTGCAACTGAATCTTTTCCATTTTAACAAAACAAAGCCTGTGTAATTCTGGCAATCTACAGCTTCCCATCTGTGAAACCGGACAACTGACTCTCCAGGGTGAGGCACTCCAATGACCCCAGGGCCCAGGCAACTGGTGGAGTAGAGCAGGCCTGTGTGAATGAGGATGCTGGAGGTAGTAGAGGGCTGGAGGAAAAGCCCTGCCTGAAGACAGGCTGTGACTTCTCGACCACTAGTTCGAGCTCCACACCCAGGAGCCTGGGACAAGCTCTGCCCAACCAGCCCAAGCAGGTCCTGGCAGCTCCCACCACATATAACCCTAGTGACCTCCTAAGCCCCAAAAGTGGAGAATGAGGGTATGCAAGCATGGAGAAGGCAGTGATTATAATGAGGTCACTGGAAAAGAGACCTGTGCAGATACCCAGGATGAGACACACAAAGGATGAGAGACAAGGTCTCCTTAGGGGCAAAGTCAGGTTAGGCACTAACCGCCATACTGTGCTATCTTATTTACAACGGAATCCCCAGCACAGAGCCTGGTGCAGAACAGCTGCTGGATAAATATTATTTGAATGAATGGGCAAACCGTCCTGAACATGTTATTATGAGGTGAGTTTTCTGTTTTTTTGTTTTGTTTTTTACATCTAGCTGCTTCTAGATTAAAAAAAAAATCTGTTCATCTTAATCAAATCAGCTAGAGAAATTACCAAAAGATATCTGGCTAGTTGATACCTTAAGGATCAGCAGAATTAGAGAATGTTAAGAGGGAAAGAAAACCTTTCTAAATTTGATCTCTGAATCATTCCTCCCTCTCTTCCCCCTTTTGCCCTCTTAGGAAAAAAAAGAGTGCCTGAAGCTCCAAATCATTTTACAGATAGTGAAACTGAGGACACAGAAGGAAAGAGTCTTGCCTGGGGCAGACGGCATGCTAGTGTAGAGCCAAAGCTACTACTGGATCAGGTCTTTTAGCTGCCTAGTGTCTGTTCCACTGCTTTGTGCTGTTGCCCTGCAGAATGATGACCCTAAAGTCCCACAAGCATTCACTGGGGTGTGAATATGTGCTGTGCTAAAAATAAAAGGGGGTGGTGAGAAAACCCTTGTGGGGTTTAGGCTAAACAAAATAAATTGCTTTACTAAAGCACTTAAATCCTTCAGTAAATCACTTAATTGCTAGTGTTGAATGTGACTCTTTTAGGGAGGAAAATGCAACACTGTCTAAACTTATCTGTGGAACACACTTTCCAGGCTAACAGGTTCAAAGGCAGCTGTAATGCTAAATCCAGAGTGGATTCCCAACTCTGACAATGCTCAATAAAAATGTCCTAATCTCAACTGGTCTATACTTTATAGATCTCACCTGGGGAAAAAAAAATCAACCCAATCAATTCACTGTAGGCTATCATCTGTATCAGGGATGGGATCTGCAGCATCAATCTATGCCTGATCCTGCTCTCCCTCCTTGCTAGCCCCATCCTCTTCCCACAGCCCACTCACAGCCACAAAATCAAAACACCCTCCATGTCAACCCTACCACCTGCCTGTGCACTTACCAGTGTGACAGTGCAGCTGTACTTATATGAAGGAAACATATCGGGCTTGACCTCTACAACTTTCACCTGAGATGTCCTGTTGGCCGGGCCACTGGGTAGCTGTGGACCAGAACAAGTTATTTAGTGCTTCTGGACCTCTGCCAAACTCCTGAGGTCCTGTGTCCTGAAACAACTTGAGTTAATATTTTCCTGGGGAATTTGTAGAGCTAAGCTCCAAATGAGCCCTCTAGGCTGCCAGCTGGCAGTGACCAGGCCACCAAAGGCTGAGTGTCATGCTCAAGTCCAGGGTTTGCCACACTCTTTGGTGCAGCTTCTTACACCATGTATTAGAAACACCATTAATCAGATTTATAACCACCACCAAGTGGTAAAAGCATATATAACGAGACACAAATACACAGTTGAATTATGTTGGCCTAGAAAGAAGTGGCTATTTCTCCCTCTTTAACACTATCTACAAACTTTTCAATTGTTTTGTAAGGAACATATACATTTCTTATAACTAAAAAAAAAAAAAAGGAAATATAAAGAAAGCATACCAAATTAAAATCAATCAATAATAGCGAATTTTCAGATTATTTCATGTACCTGTTAACTGGTTTAAGACAGTAGCAAAAGAGCCTGTGACTTAACAAATACCCAATGTTGCCAATCAAATGAAAACTATTTACAGAGAAGACTGGACAGGGTGCACATGAACGGATCCAGGGGCTGGAAACCGACGAAACTACTGCAGCTGACAAGATATTTCTCTCTATACAATATGATCACACAAAACCCCAGAGCTGCCACCACACCTGGGTGGCAAACAAAACAGCTCTTAAAGTAAATGCCAGCTAATATTCTTGTCAGGACAAATTCACAACTGTCAAAGAAGGAAGTTACCTGACAAGGAGGATGCAAGAAAACAGACCAATTTTCTTATCCCAACTCAGCCCATGACAGAGTTATCAAAACTACAGGCCACAATCCAGAGAGGTCATGAAATTAGTTTAATGATTTGAAACCAGCAATTGCCCAGAAATGAAAATTATCGAAAAAACTGCATGTAGTAAGGGCACAGCTTCATTCAGTTTTTAATATGTATGTTTATTGGGCTGAATGTAAAATGTGCTTGTTCCTGAGGGTCATGTTCAAAAAAGTCTGAAAAATGCTAACTTAGAAAATTTTTATAATAATTATTCTAGACACAAAAGACCAAAAAAAAAACCTTAAAAAACCCACTAAATGGTTGAATCCATGTAGTTTTCACAACTAGATAATCTTTAATAGCTGTATAATTATTAAATAAAAAATAGAGGCTACAAATTAGCATAGAGAAAGAGCTATGTTTCCAATTAAAAAAAAAATTATATTCAATCATCTGAGGTCAGAAGTTTGAGACCAAACTGGGCAACATAGCAAGACTTCATCTCTACAAAAATAATTTTTTAAGAATTATATTAAAAAATAAACACATACACATTCAGAAAAAGACTTGAAAACTGAAAGAGCATACACTGGATTGTCATCTTGGGCGGCAGGACCACGAGGGACTTTATCTCCTTTTTCCTTTGATGGATTATCTACATTTTCTACAACAACCATGCATACATTTTTAAGAGGAGGTTAAAGAGACATGACTAAATGCATATCTGATTCAGTAGACTGAATCATCTACTAAAGAGGAAAGACACTATATAAAGGATCTAACTGTCCTAGGATGGAAGGGGCCTAAAAATTTATTTTTTAAAGGATATAACCGGGTCAAACTGACAAAACTTGGAATATGAATGGGAGAGTAAAGGCGTGTATCAATGTTTCAGTAAAAGAATATCTCTATTCCTAGGAAATACACAAGCATGAAGGAGTCAAAGGCCATGTAACTGACCCCCAAGTTATGCATATCTTGCACATGTATACCCACACATGGTGGTGGCACATGGATGAGCACAAGTGGTAAAGCAAAATGGGCTACCACACTAACAATAGTTTGACTATGGATCAAGAGTATATGGGTGTTCTTTATACTGTTTTTACTTTTGCATCTTTTTTTCTAAGTTACAAATTATTTCTAATAAAAGGCTTAAAAACATATTTATTTTATAAAATAAATTACTTAAAAAATAGATGAATCGGCCATGCTTAATGGTTCAGCCTGTAATCCCAGCACTTTGGGAGGCTGAGGTGAGTGGATTGCCTGAGCCCCCGGGTTCGAGACCAGCTTGGGCAACTTGGTGAGACCTCATCTCCACAATAAATAAGAAAAATCAGCCAGGCGAGGTAGTGTGTGCCTGTAGTTCCGGCTACTTGGAGGGCTGAGGCGGAAGGATTGCCAGAGCCCAGGAGGTTGATGCTGGGGTGGCTGTGAGCATGTCACTGCACTCCAGCCTGGGTGACGAGTGAGACTCCAACTCGAAAAAAGAAAAAAAAAAATAGATGGATCGTTTGTGTTAACCTCCTTGCAGAAGCTGGCCAGTGTGCGAGAACTGAGATCTGCCTCTCGCCTATAGTTTTGGTGCCTCAAAAGGAAGCAGCCAGACGCTCTCCCACCCACATAGTTCCCCTTCTGGAGAAAGGGTCTTACCTTCACCTCACCAGTGCCACAAGGCTGCTGAATGGGCTGGCCCAGCTGCCTCAGTGTGCTTGGCTTCAGGCCACAAGTCCTTACAGAGGGAGTCTTATCTGAGAGAACAGGGAGCCAGATTGGTGATGATGTGCATTCACAGTCTCCCCGAGTCTCTTGCTTGCATTCTCAGCCCCACTCTGCCCTCCCACCCGCCAGCCACTCCTCCCTGGCCTGCCCCGCCCTTACCATTCAGGGAAAAGGCCTGCCTGGCCCTGGGCAGTCCCATGCTGCTGCCTCGCCCCACATTAACCGGGGCTGGCAGAATTGCTCTCATGGGTCTTGCCGCAGCCAATAAGGAGGGCTTGCCCCGTGCTCTGCCTTTAAGCTCTGAAGCTCTGGGCCCTGGGGCGAGCAGGTCAACTCTGAAAAAAATAAGAAAGGAAATCTGGACCTTCTGAACCAAGAGAAAGAAAACCAAAGAGCAATTTACAAACAACACTTTATTGGAGAATACTACACATCAAACTTTAGACACACTTGACTTCAAATTCAACCATTAAATAGCTGTATGGTCCTAGAAAAGTAGTTTCATTCTTCTGTTAATCTCAAATTTCTAATATGTAAAAAGTTAGTAATTACTTATACTTTATGGGGTCATTACAAAGTCACAAAAGTGTAAACTACTGCCTCCTGTGTAATGCCAACAGCTACTATAGTTGTAACATCCAATCTGCCTCTGCCTAGAGCAAGTACTTGACGTGCATGAGCCTCCCACACGAGGACAGCTAGAGACCCTGGGGAACAAAGTCCTGTTTCCTTCATCTCTGCAGCAACAATGTTGAACACAGGGCCTGCGTCACAAAAGGCCCCAATAAACTTCGCTTGAGTGAATCACATGTCCCAAACAAAACTTCTGATGTACACAACTTTACCTTTTAAGACACAAAACCTTCTCCAAAATATATTGCTATATAATTTTTTTTTTTTTTTTAGAGCAAGATGTGGACTGTGTGCAGTGGTTTGTATCTGCAATCCCAGCACTATGGGAGACTGAGGCAGGAGAATTGCTTGAGCCCAGGAGTTCAAGACCAGCCTAAGCAACAAAATTTAAAAATTAGCTAGGTGTGGTGGTGTGTGCCTGTAGTCTCAGCTATTTAGGAGGCTGGGATGGAAGGACAGCTTGAGCCCAGAAGGCCAAGGCTCATATGAGCCTTGATTGTGCCACCACACTACAGCAGCCTGGGTGACAGAGTGAAATCCTGAATTAAAAAAAAAAAAAAAAAAAAAAAAAGGTGCAAAATGTAGAAATATGTATGCTATGCTACCATTTATGTAAAACAAGAGAACATGTACATGCATATTTATTTGTAAGTGCTTAAAATTCCCTCTAGAAACAAAGTAGGGAATATTGATTATATTGGGAAATGAAAATGAATGACTGAAGAATGGGACAGAAGGGAGTTTCTAAAATACATATTCCTTGTACCTTCTGAGTTTGAATCATGTGAATATATTTCCCACTCATTAATAAAAATTTAAAAATCACAGTAATATAACCAAAATTTTGAAGCCCTGGTACTACAGGTTGAGTACCCCTGATCTGAAATGCTTGGGACCAAAAGTGTTTCAGGTTTCTTTTAATTTTGGAATGTTTGCATTTACTCACCAAACGATCATCCCTAACCCCAAAATCCAAAATCCAAAATGGTACAATGAACCTTTCCTTTCAGAGTCACGTCAGTGCTGAACAAGTTTTGGTTTTGAAGCATTTCGGATTTCAGATTTTTGAATCAGAAATGCTCAACCTGTGTTAGCATTTAGGGCTAGATAATTCTTTGTTGTGGGAGGCTATCTTGTGTACTACAGGGTATTTAGCATCTCTCTAGACCTCTACCCTCTAGATGCCAGCAGCACACTTCTTCCCCAGTTGTGACAGCCAAAATGTCCCCTGGGGGCAAAACTGTTCCCAGTTGAGAACCACGGAAACAAGCAAATAAGGAGGCCTATAATCCCAGCACTTTGGGAGACTGAGGCAAGAGGATTGCCTGAGCTCAGGAGTTCAAGACCAGCCTAGGCAACATGGGAAGACCTCATCTTTACAATAAAAATTAAAAAAAAATTAGCCAGGCACGGTGGCACATGCCTATAGTCCCAGCTACTTGGAAGGCAAGGCAGAGGAATCACTTGAGCCCAGCTGGTCATGACTGCAATAGTTGTGAGCATGCCACTGCACTCCAGCCTGGGCGACAGAGTGAGACCCCAATTCAAAACAGACAGACAAACAAACCATCAGAAGAAAACCAAACAAATAAGGGCCTTCAGTTACAAGAACACAGCTGTTGCTGGGAAGGGCCATGTGTAGGATTCCATTAAGGCCTTAAGGAGAAAACAGGAGAAAGAGACAGCTCAATCTTAGTGACCTCACCCCATTGCAAGTCACTGGGCTGCATGGTGACACCCAATCTCCTCCAGTCTGTATGGTCTGCTGTGAGGATGAGACTGCATAATAGCAACTAAGATTTGCCAGAGAGAACTGAAGTCAAGAGACATCAAGTGACTATGCACAAGGTCAAGCAGAAGTCAAGGACAGCTGCAACCAGACTGAGTTCTCTGACCACCAGGCCAGAACTCTCTCCATGATGCTTTAATAAGCCTTTTCTTTCCAAATGCCGTATCCAGGATTGGTAATTCACAGTCAGGAAAAGGCAGGTCATTTTCTGATGGGCACAGACACATTTGGAGCTTTTAGAAACCATAAATACATCAAGTATACCAGGCCAGAACTCTCTCCATGATGCTTTAATAAGCCTTCTCTTTGCAAATCCAGTATCCAGGATTGGTAACTCACAGCTATAATCCCACCCACAGCATGTAGCAGCAAGCTTCTAAGAGACTGATGTTAGGGAAACTGACAAGAGAGGTACAAGTAATATGACAGCAGAGTCTGGGTTATTCATATCCCAGGCCTTGCTTTCTGTATCTCTAAACAAGGAACCATTAACTGGGCTCTGCTGCGTGTCTCAGGCATACTGTAAGCACATGGGCTAAAACAAACGGGGCACTTGCAAAGCTGCTACTGTGAATTATAGCCCTATACTACAGAAACACATTGACTTACCCTGTAGCTTTTTTAGGAGCAGGGAGTGGACTGGAGGTGCTGGTCCCCTCGGCTGGTGGTGGTATGTCTGCCCCAGGACTGTCATTCTCAGTTGTCCCCAGAGTGACCTCAAGCTGCACACCACTCTTGACGACCTGCGTCTTAGTGACTGCTGTACCACGATTCCCAGGAGTGTCCTTGACCAGAGCATGGGCATCGGAGACAACCACTTCCTCCCACTCATTCTCCTCACCTACTTCTCTTGAAGGAGCAACACTCAGGAGTTGGCTCACCGCTTCCGAATTCTCCAGAGTCAGCTTGGAGGCATTTTCCTTAGAGGAATTTTGCTCAGTGGTGACAGGCTGCTGATTTCTTTTAACCACAGAGCCTTTGGAGGAGACACCAGAAGCCAAGTCCACTTTTACTTTGGCTGGCTTTTCCTAGAAGAATAATACCTTGTAAAAAATAAGGCATTTTACAGTTGATGACAATATTCATGAGCATTCTTTGATTTGATCATCATACTAATAACCTATGGGTAACAGATAAGGAAACTGAGATTCACAGAGAGGAAGAGATTAACTTAAAGTCCCAAGTGTGAAACTAGCTTGAATTTAAGTCTTCGGACTCCAGGTTCCTTTCACTAGTATTAAATACCTTGGTTAGAATTAAGCTGTTCTCCTCCTAAAATATTTCTTACTGATAAGCCTCCTTAGGTTTCATCAACCACATGTTAGCATTTTTTGGTTTGACTTTTGAATGTTCTCTGAACCCCAAGTAAACAGTATAGAGTTTATTTACTGTTGGAGAAAGAAAATTCAGCAGAAAAAACAGGAGACTCCACTCACGTCTCTTGAGATATCTGAACAAAACGCTGCCTAAGTAGGCTATTTTAGACAAAAATCATTGCAGGAAATTGGGTACTTTATGTAATCTGAACAAAGACCTATACCTAGCGCTCTCACATTCCCTTGACTTAGCCTACTCATTTTAGACATTACTTTCTTTCAACATGGAAGGTTAGCACAACTAGCTGCCCAGAGACCTCAAGTACCACCACCAAAGTGCCCATGAAAATGAAGTCTTGAGCACAATAGCCTTACATACTATCTCTTGCTCCATCCAAACCATTGGGAACCATGCCACACATTTACTGGGCTAATTGTAGCCAATATAAGCTCTAGAACAATATAAGAAAAGGCGAGTCATTTCCTGACTGGCACAGACACAGTGGAGCTTTTAGAAGTCATGTATACAAGCTGTCAAAAATCAGAACTTGGCCATTGCTTTGTTAAACTCTGGTGTGTCTGTGTGGCTCTTTGAGCTATGGCTGCCATGTTTCCTAGCTTTGGTTCCCTCCCCTACCTTGAGGAGGTAAATCTGAATCCTCTCTCTCTGCCTAATTTGCTTTCTAAATAAACTATATTTTTCAATCTAAAAAAAAAATCAGAACTCAAGAAAACAGACTGCAGCTAGCCAGCACAGCAATGCCTGAGAAGTGTGATTTAGTGGAAAAGGAGCTGGGATCATCAGCTGTGTGAATTTAGCAAGTCACTTTTCTTGAATCTATTTTTCCCCAGCTGGAAACTTAAAAGGGTTGAACTGATAACTAAAGTCACTGTTATCTCTAAAATCCTAAGTGCTTTGATACTAAAATGTTACCTTTTTCCTTCTCTCACTCATTGTTTCTATGAGATTTAAAAACCACAGTGTCTAATAAACATTGGAAAAGGGCTGGGTGCAGTGGCTCACCACAAAGCAACCCCAGTAGTTTGGGAGCCTGAAGTGAGAGGATTGCTTGAGTCCAGGAATTCAAGACCAGCCTGGGCAACATAGCAAGACCTCCTCTCTATAAAAAAATTAAAAAATTAGCTAGGCATGGTGGCATACGCCTGCAGTCCTAGCTACTCAGGAAGTGGAGGCAAGGAGATTGCTTGAGCCCAGAAGGTCGAGGCTGTGGTGAGCAATGATCACACTACTGTACTCTAGCCTGGGTGAAAGAGCAAGATCCCTGACTCAAAAAAAAAAAAAAAAAAAGTTTGGAAAAATTCTGATTTAGCAAGTCAAGATGAGGGAGAAGTAGCTAAGAAAAAAACCTGTTTTCAAAAAAGAAAAAGAAAGAAGAAAATCTATTTTCATGCCACAAGCTTGATCTTAGTAAGAGAACCATGACTCCAGAATTATTCCAGGCATGGTGATTCATGCCTGTAATCCCAACAATTTGGGAGACTGTAATGAGAGGATCACTTGAGCCCAGGAGTTTGAGGACAGCCTGGGCAACATAGTGAAAGACTGTGTCTCCAAAAAAAAATTATTATGTTAATCAAGGGGGAAAAAACACACATGCAAAAAATAAAAAAGAAAGCCAAAGTAAAATGGAGATTGAGGAGAGATAAGCCTACCATGATCACTTGCACCCTACCACACACAAGCACAGAAAATAAGGTCATTTACTAGACCTGCTTTGCACTGGTGAAGAGGGACCAATGAGGATTCTGACTACTATCCAACTCAAACTCCCTGCTGCAGCTAGAGAAATGCATTTTTAGGGAGTCATTAGAGTGGGAATAAATTGATGGCTTGGTTTCACAGAGACACCAGAGAAGATAGGCACCAGAATCTCGACAAAAACTCCTGAGAGACACTAACACTAGGTCTTTTCTGACCCTAGAAGTGGTAACATGAAGAGCAATGGTAGGTCAGGGGCAGTGGCTCATGCCTGTAATTCCAGCACTTTGGAAGGTTAAGGTTGGAGGATTGCTTGTGCCCAGGAGTTTGCGACAAGCCTGAGCAACATAGTAAGGCCCTGTCTCTACAAAATTTTGTTTTTAATTAGCCAGGTGTGGTGGTGCATCTGTAGTCCCAGATACTTGGGAGGCTGAGGTGGAGAATAACTTGAGCTCAGGAGTTCAAGGCTGCAGTGAGCTCTGACTGTGCCACTGCATTCCAGCCTGGGCAACAGAGCAAGACACTGTCTCTTAAAACAAAACAGAACAACATACAATAGCAGAGTTAATAATTCTATTGCTATCACACATGATGATAGCAAGGAACATTCACTGAGGATTTACTATGTACCAGAAACTGCCATGGGCTCTACATGGTTAATTTTATTTGCTCCCTCTAACAACCCTATCGAGGCAGGCACTATTATTAACTTCTGTGTAGAGACGAGAGGAAGCCCAAGAAATACAGTTATCAACGGACTTGCCCAAGGCCACAGTTATGAACCTGGGAAGCAGGGGCTTAAATGGGGTAAGCTGACTCCAGAACTAGATTACTAATTGCTCCCCTAGTCCATCTCCCAGAATTGGTGCTATCCTGAACTTACCCAGAGGGCAAAAGTGACCATCCCAGTATTTCTCAGAGATGTGCTATGGAAATTGCCCCCAGAGAAATGTAAAGGTGTGCTGCTACATGAGTTATCTCTCTGCGACTGAGTCTGGTCCACTTGAGTTAAGCATACAGCAACCACAATCTTAGCCTGAGCAACTTCACTAAGAAAATGTCCGCTTTTTCTTTGTTCCTGCCCAAATTCTGCTGATCTTCAGGACCATCTCCTCTATAAAACCTTCCCTGTTCATTCCAGTCCTTATAAATGTCTCTCCTCTCTGTAATTGAGACTGTACTGCCTATTCCACTAATTTTAGCTCTAAAAACGTGTAGGTTCATATTTTAAAAATGGCAAGTATGTATGTTTTATCTAGTTAGTGCCCAGCATACACAGATGACAACATGTGTGTACCTAAACTTCAGAGGGGCATAGCTGTTATGCTCATTTACTCATGGTGCATCTGCTATGGACAAAGGGCTGTAGGGAACACGGAGGTCATTAAGAAGCTCTCAACATGACAAAAGCAGAAACACTGTTAAATGGTGATGACTGCTAAACAAAAGTGATATTTACAGGGAGAGTCATTCACTCTTCCCTAAGGAAACCTAAGGATGGATGTTCTATGTTTATAATGAGCCATGAACCATGGTAATGGTGGGGGAAAGTGAAGGGGGTGGAGAGGTGGGAAGGAGGTGGGTGGGCAAAGAAGATACGTATACATTTGTAAAGTTAGACTATGGAAGCCCTTGAATACCAGGTGAAGAACTTCCACTTTTAATAGGAGCTATAGGAGACTTAAAGGATTTTGAGCTTAGTGGTGAAAAAACACGAACTACAAGCTACATTCGAACAACCAAGCAGAAAGTATAAAGGGTGGACTACTATTCAGTCCTAAAAGCAAATGAGTACATTAATACAATGTGGTCATTTATGGGAACTATGAAGCAATTAGAATATTCTTGACAAATATTTAATGGGATGATACATTAAATGAAGAAAGCAAATATTACAGTATTAGAGGTGCCCATGAAAAACTATGAAAAAAAGGAAAACAGCAAGATACAGAGCTTATTTTATCCACAGAAGAGAAACTAGAACAGAACACACCAAAATGTTAATAATGGCTTTTCTTTATATGATTATGGATAGCACTGTATTTTATTTTTCTTTTCTATTTTAAAAAACAAATTGCTTACAATCAAAATGACTTATTTGTAGGGTCAGAAAATAAGAATGACTGCTAACTTTTTAAAAGGCACCTGGGGCCATTGCCTTGTTAAGATATGGTGTGTTCGTGTGCTCTTTGAGCTATGGCCAGGCCATGTTTCCTGGCTTTGGATCCTTTCCCTACCTTGGGGAGGTGAATCTTCTCTCTCTCTCTAATTGGTTTTTAAATAAACTATATTTTGTAATCTACAAAAGAAAAAAAGTCACCTGGTCCTAAGAAAAACAGAAAGCAACTCTGTGGGGCTCCCCAGCAGCAACGGCCAAAGGAGCTTACCTTTGGGATCCACTTCCCTCCTAGGAAGTTACCACAGGTAGGGCACTTAGGTGGTTTGTGCCTGGTGACGTATGTAAAGGAGCAACCTGGGCTGGTGCAGGTCCCATGGCCCCGGCGGGTGTACGTAGTGGTCTGTAAAGAAAGAGTATGTTACAATCAATACCATAATCCAGACTCTCTCAGATGCTGATGACAATTATAACCACAACAATCCTGGAGGACATAGCTTGTGGAAGGAAAGTCAATTCCTAGTACCATAAAAGATCAGCATTGGAAAGGTCCTACAGTATACTAAAGTCACTTTCTACAAATGGAGAAACTGAGTTCAAATGGGGAAAGACAGTTGCCCAACATTACAGTTAGATACCCTAAGAATAAAGAGAGAGTTGCTCTCACACAGTGCTAAACACTTCACTAACATCTCATTTAGTACTCTTAGCAATGGTATTAAGTATGTACTATTGCTACTGAGGTTCAGAGAGGTTAAATGCTTTGCCGCAAATCAGACTTCAAGGACAGAGCTAGTCCCAGAACACAGGTCTCTCTGAGTCATGGCTCAAGATGCCTTCCAGGCACCTAGATGCACCCTCTGGCTCTGAAGACTACAAAGAAATTGCTTCATTTTAATTTTTCAAAGAACCTAGGAAGGAGGGTTCAGAGATAAAAAGTAGATCCATGGCCAATGGAAAAATGAGGGGAACCCAGGAGTAGAAACCAGGCCCTTGGACATCAACAGCATTTAGTTATTTGCATGAGTATATTCAGCCACGGGCTCTTACCATCTCCACTGATCTTCCTTAGAGTAAAACATATTACAACAGGTTATTACATTTCGGCTACAACAGAAACTACTCATTCCTTAGCCGTGCTGCATTTCTAGATTAATGCTGGAAAAGAGATTTTCCTATCAGATTTCTATCCCTTATGACTGTTTACTAAGCTGTTAATGTCAGCTTCCCTAGCCTGGCCAAAAGGCAAAAATCCCCACTTGGGGAAACACCAAATTGCCATTAGCTATCTCTGCCAGAAAGCCCAAGGAAGAGGCAATTACGACAGGGGTACCAAGTCAAAGAGGAGTGTGAAGTGGTGTGGCACAAGGAAAGAGACCAGCCTCTGGGTTCCAATTTGGCCACTAACACAATGAGTGACCTGGGGTGAGGCATCTTAATTAACTCTTGGATCCTGGGCTTGCACCTCTGTAAAAGCACCTCTTCTTTCTATTTCACAGGCATGTCTGAAGAGTAGGTGAGCTAAGGGATAAGGAAACATTTACTTAGTTAACAATAAAATATTCTATAGGCCTGCGAGAGACTATTACTACAGGAATATAAACATCTCTCATCTTTTCTTAGACTGTGGCTCAATGTAGAATCTTCATTATGAATACCCTCAGAAAGCAGAATAAAAATTTAAGGCAGGTTAGTTCTATAATTACCATGAACTAGGAAAAACTCCTAAATAGTAGGCTACAGAAATGATTTTGGAAAAAAATGCTAATGCTCAAGGTGGATGTTTCAGTCCTAAGTATTATCCACACAACACTTTTCTAGAAGAGCTTGACTGACACATATCAGAGCATGAAAGAACAGTTATTTCCAAGAAAACAAAGACTCAGAAGACTAAACAGTTTCTTCATGAATCAACAGCAGTGGCTGTTCCTGTTTTAAGATACTGCAACTTTCTAATCTATGAATATATTGTTTACCTATAGCAGGGATTTATGAAGCTGAGATAAACTGTGGTAATTTAAAAATGTGTACTATTGGCCCTAAAAAAACTACTAAAATAGGCTGGACATGGTGGCTCACGCCTGTAATCCCAGCACTTTCGGAGGCTGAGGTGAGAGAATTGCCTGGGCAACATGGTGCGACCTCGTATCTAAAATTTAAAAAAAAAAAAAATTAGCTGGGAGTGGTGGTGCGTGCCTGTGGTCCCAGCTACTCTGGAGGCTAAGGTAGAAGGATCACCTGATCCCAGCAGACTGAAGCTGTAGTAGCCATAATCATGCCACTACACTCCAGCCTTGGAGACAGAGTGAGACTCCAACTCAAGAAAAAAAAAAAAAAGAAAACCAAACCCACTAAAATAACCAGAACAGGTTAGGTGCAGTAGTTCAGACTGTAGCCCCAGCAATTTGGGAGGCTGAGGCGAGAGGATTGCTTGAGCCTGGTGGTTTGAGACCAGCCTGGGCAACTTAGTGAGACCTTATCTCTACAATAAATCACAAAAACTAGCTGGGCGTGGTGGTGTGCATCTGTAGTTCCAACTACTTGGAAGGCTGAGGCAGAAGGACTGCCTAAGCCCAACAGGTTGAGGCTTATGGCTATGAGCATGCCACTGCCCTCCGGCTTGGGCAATGGAGATTCCAAAATAAATAAACAAATAAAAACCAAACCAAAGTCTATAGCTAACAAGGCAATAAAAAAGAGGAAACGGATTCATTAAAAATACTCAAAAAGAAGGCAGAACAAAACAGAGGGGACATAGAGTTAATATAAAAGACCTAAACTTAACTATATCAATATTCATACTAGCCGGGCTCGGTGGCTCAGCCTGTAATCAATCCCGCGCCTTTGGGAGGCTGAGGTGAGTGGATTGCCTGAGCCCGCAGGTTCGAGACCCGCTTGGGCAGGCGAGACCTCATCTCCACAATAAATCAAAAAAATTAGCCAGGCGTGGTAGCGTGCACCAGTAGTTCCAGCTACTTGGAAGGCTGAGGCGGAAGGATCGCCGGAGCAAGTTGAGGCTGCGGTGGCCGGGAGCGGCCACTGCACTCCAGTCTGGGCGACAGTGAGACTCCAACTCAAAAAAAAAAAAAAAAAAATTCATATTAAACATAAATGGCTTAAACATCCCAATTAAAAGACAGAAATTGTCAGATGGACCTTGCTCTTATTTCCAAACTATATGCTGCCCACCACAACAGGACAAAACAAAAATACTTTAAATACGAAGACATAATCTTGTTAAAAGTAAAAGTATGGGAAAAATATACTTTACTAATTAAAAAAAGCTGGGCATCAAAGTAAATTTCAGAGCAAAGACTGTCACAGATGAAAAAATTCATTTCATAATAAGTAAGAAGAAAATATATCAGCGGATACAACAATCCCAAATGTTTATGTGTTTAATAGGAGAATCAAAATATATGACAAAAAGCTAATAGAACTGTGAGAAGAAATAGACAAATCTACAATGATAGTTGGATGTCTTCTCTTAAGATTGATAGAACAAGCAGGCAAAAATCAGTAAAGATATAAAAGGACTATATAACATTATCAATCAACTTAACCTAATTGTAATGCAGAGAACATTCCATACAACAGCACAGTACACATTCTCTTCAAGTGCACATAGGGCATTTATCAAGACAGACCATACTCTGGGCTATAAAACAAGTCTCGATAAATTTAAAAGGATTTAGGCCATAAAGTTCTGGCTGCAATGGAATTAAATTATAAATTGATAACAGAAAAATATTTGGAAAATCCCACAAATGCCTGGAAAACAAATAATACACTTCTAAATAACCCATAGGTCAAATAGGTAAATTACAAAGTATTTGATGCTGGGCCTGGTGGCTCACACCTGTAATCCCAGCACTTTGGGAGATGGAGGTGAGAGGACTGCCTGAGCCCAGGGGTTTGACATCTATTTGAAAAACAGTGAAATTCACCACATTAACCAACTAGAAAAAAAGAAAATGTACAATCATCTCAACAGACACAGAAAAAGCATTTGACAAAATCCAACATCCATTCCTGTTTTTAAAAACTCCCAGCAAATTAGGAATAAAACTTCCTAAACTTGATAAAGGGCATGTAAACAAAAACTTACAGCTAATATCTTACTTAATGGTGAAAGACTGAATCCTTTCCCCCTAAGATAAGGAACAAGACATCTTGTTCCTCAAGAGGAACTTACTCTTAACACTTCTATTCAACATTGTACTGGAGATACTAGAAACGTAAAATAAGGCAAGAAAAAGAAATAAGGAATCCAGATCAGAAAGTAAGCTATAAAACTGTCAATACTCACAGACAAACTTTATCTGTGTAGAAAATTCAGTGGATCTCATCACCAGGAAATAAAGGCAAAAAAAAAAAAAAATTTTTTTTTTAAAGAAAATTCAACAGAATCTACAGAAAGCTACCAGAATTAAGAAGTGAGTTTAGGAAAGTTGCAAAATATAAGCTCAACATACGAAAAATCAATTGTATTACTATATACTAGCAATGATAAAATACTAAAATTTAAAAAAATACCATTTATAATAGCATTAAAAAATATGAATTACTAAGGGATATACTTTACCCCAGATTCTGCAGTGTGTGATTAAAATAATATCAACTGAGAATCAAGAAATCAAAATCCTGCCTCCAGTTTGTTTTGCAACCTAGTGGCCTTGAACAAGTCCTTTCTCTTCTTTGGGCCTTTTTCCTAAGCTGTACAATAAAAGTATTTAATTAGACTGTGGCACCTCAATTTTTCTACATCATGTATGCTTCTGAAAATGTGATAAAAACCATGGAATCTATTCCAGGCAAACACTCTCAGGAGAAAAATTTGGATATAACCTGAGGGGAATTCACAGATCCTGTGACAAGATCTATCTACAGAACACCTTAGTTAAGAACACCTGGGCAACCTGGTGAGAACTCATCTCCACTATAAATAAAAAACTAGCCAAGCGTGGTAGTGCACGCCTGTAGTTCCAGCTACTTGGAAGGCTGAGGAGGAAGGATCACCGGAGCCCAGCAGGTGGAGGCTGCGGTGGCTGGAGCAGCCATTGCACTCCAGTCTGGGTGACAGAGTGAGACTCCAACTCCAAAAAAAAAAAGAACACCAGATAACCCTTGAGACTTTTGCCAGTCCCAGTGTTCTAAGGTTCTAAGACTTTTAGAAATCTGACCAGGCATGGTAGCTCACACGTGTAATCCCACCACTTTGAGAGGCCAAGGCAGGAGGACTGCTTGAGGCCAGGAGTTCGAGACCAGCTTGGACAACATAGTGAGACTTGGTCTCCACAAAAATACCAAAAACTTAGCTGTGCATAGGGGCACACAACTGTAGTCCCAGCTACACGGCTGAGGAGAAGGATTGCCTGAACTCAGGAGGTCGAGGGCAGTGGGCTATGATCGTGCCACTGCTTTCCAGCATAGGTGACAGAGTGAGAACCTGATACAAAAAAGAAAAAAGAAAGACTTTTAGAAATCTACTTGGTCCTACAACTTGAAGCTCAATAGGAAAAAGAAATCTACTTGGAAAAAATTGCTAAGAAGCCCTAAGAAGGCCTAACTGACATCATTCCCACACATGGTACTGACCAGTTTGATAGAGGTGGGGTTCTCCACAACCGAGTAGGCAGGCAGAGGCAACATGATGAACTGTGCAGCTGGTGCAGGGGAGCTGCTCTCACCGGAATCCTGTGGGCAGTGGAGAGAGGGGCAGTTTCACTGAAACAAAGTGCAAAACACCCAGGGCCCCCACAACACTGAAAGCCTGGACCAAGTCCAATAACCAGACGATGTACTTCAATGTGCTCATCAGAAGAACCTACAGTTATCACAAAATAAAACGCGTAAGAACAAAGAAAGACAGAGAAAACTATTATCACACAAAGTGTGCTATCTCATTTTTTAAATGAGCAAAGTGAGGTTCTAAGAGATAGACTCCCAAGATCACACAAGCAGTCAATGAGAGAATCTAATTCATCTTATGCTATCAAGTGTTCTAAGCACCCTATGACTCTGCCTTAAGCAGGCCAGCGGTTTTGTTCTCATAAATAGCACTGAGGCAATAAACAATAAAAATGATTTAGATTCTTTTGGAGGGATACCCGTTCCTCTTAGCCTGAGCAGAAAGACTCTCATTTCTTTGAGGATGCTAACCTGTCTTGGCTAATAAGGGAAGGTTATACACTAGCGCAGGAGGGGGTTGGTAGATTCCCTACTTCTGGGACTAGGCTGTGGACTCACTAAAACCAACGCTTTCCCTTCAGCTGAGCATGGCACTTAGGCCACTCTACTTTCTCAGACATGAGTCCCATCAACCTAGCCTTGAAGAGAAATTCATTCCTCCTATACCATTTGTACCAGGAAGACTTTTTGAAAATTCTCTTTTACAATGCAAAGTGCCATTATCTGCTAAAATGTTATAGTATGGTGGCTCACACCTATAATCCCAGCTACATGAGAGGCTGAGGCAGGATCACTTGAGCCCAGGAATTAGAGACCAGCCTGGGCAACAGTGAGACCCCATTTCAAAAAAAAAAAAGCAGTCTTCAGGGAACATAAAATCCTGACTGATACTAACAGCCTGACAGATCCTGCTTTGACTCATAAGTAGCCCAAACACCATTTCCAGCTCTCCTGCTAATGTAGCTCATGTACCATCTCATGTAAAGAAAACCAACTTAGCTGGGCAAACAGGAGTTGGTTACAATGCCTGAGAAGCTGCCAAAGAACTCTAGAGTAAGCCCAGGGGCAGGGATGTTCAAGAGAACTGTGGCCCCACTGGCAGTGCCACACCAGCACTCAATCACCACTGCTCCAGATAACACTGCATGGTGCCAGCTGTCTTTTTAGCAACTCCAGATAAAGAGACATCAGCACCAAAGCCACTTACCCTCACGACTGTCACCACTGACACACTCTCCCCAACGTGGGGATGGGGCACAGCCAGGCTTCCAGTGGGGAGATCCGGGGAGCTGCTCACTAAGGTCTCTTCAATGACCAGGCTGGTCTGGTAGGGCTGATGACTCTCCCCGACCTCCAGGGAAGCCTCCTCTAGTAGCACATCCTGGCTGAGGATCTCTGAGGTGGCGATCTCCTGAACTGCACCAGGCTGGGCAAGGGCTCCCGCCTCCTCAGTCAGGGCCTCCACAGCCAGGCACTGCTCTGCCACACCTGCATGGCTGGGCACTGCCTCTGGGGCAGTGTTGGACACAAGAGAAGGTCCTTTAGGGGACATCTGGTTCTGAGCCACACACATCTCTAGCTGCGGGCAGCTCCGGTCCTCCTGCAGGCTGCTCTTGGGGATGATGATGTAATCTGAGCGGGGGAGGATCTTGCGGAAACCTGGGATGTCCGGAACCACAGCAGTCAGCGCAGAGAGCTTAGAATTCTGAGGATGAAGTCAGGAGGACGGGGGAGACAAGCAGAGATGAGTGGACCAAGACCACATGGATACATATTTATTAGCTCATTTTTTTTCTGCATAAGGGACCAGAAAAACTCCACTGTCTTGACCTAACTCAGATAGGGTCAGCCTCCAACAGCCACATCACCTTGATTTGAACCACATCTTAGCCAATGTCGCTTACTCGCTCAATCACACAGGAAACAGATAACATGGGTTGAACTCTGGAAAGGCTGTGATCTTGGCATCTGAAACTGTGAGCTGGAACCTGAGGTCTGGCATAGTCTTGAGCAGTTCCTTTCCCTTCTTGGGGCCTCAGCTGCCCCATCTGGACAACAAGGTAGCTGAACCTAGCAACAAGGTAGCTGAACCTAGCAACTTGTAAGTTCCTTTTGGGCTCTGATACTTTAGGATTCCAAAGTAGTGTAAGATTTAAACACCAGAATGTATAATGCTCAATAAAGACCCAAAAAGCATAAACTATAAGTCAACAGGCAGAGCTGGAACTCAAGACAACAAGAATTCTGACCTTACTGAGAGAAACCAGGATGCACAGATCACAAAGCTGAGAGGCTTCGTGAGAGTGTATATAGAAGTGTACATAGAAGGAGTTATCTGACAAGGTCCTGACAGATTAAGGGAAAACAAAGAATATGAATATTAATAATGACCTGGTACCTGCAGGTTTAGAAAATGCTTTCAAATCCATTATCTAACTTTACCTTAAAAACAACACTATTATGTTAGGTTATATTGCTCCCACTTAACAAATAAGGAAATCAGCTGCATGTGTTGGTCTTGCCTGTATCCCAGCTACTTAGGAGGCTGAACCAGGAGGATCTTTTGAGCACTGGAGTCTGAGGTTGCAGTGAGCTATGATCATACCACGGCACTCCAGCCTGGGTGATGGAGTGACACCAACTCAAAACCACACACAAAATAAATGAGGAATTTGAGGACAAAGCTCAGGGAGGTAAACTTTCCCAAAAAGCAAAATTAGTAAGCAGTAAAGCCAGGACACCAAGTCAGGTCTCTTAGTGGATCAAGAAAATCAGATACTAAAAGCACAATCTTTCATGGCTAACTAGCACCAAGAAAATCATTTTTGCTTTATTTTTTCAATTTAAACTGAGAGTCACCCAATAATGAAAGGTTCAAAGTGAATGCTTGAGTGAGAACCAAAATTAAAAGAACAACCAAAAGAAAGCACCAGAAGCATCTCTTAAAAGAACACTAAAGTCAATTACAAAAGGATCCTCCTATAACTCAAAAGTAAGAAGTCAATGAGCCTACTTAAGACACAAAGGAAGCACTCAGAAATAAAAAGTTAAAAACAGCACTTGGAACCAGCCATGGTGGCTCACACCTGCATTCCTAGCACTTTGGGACGTGGACTCGAGAGAATTGCCTGAATCCAGAAGTTCAAACCAGCCTGGGCAACTTGATGAGACCTCATCTCTACAATAAATCAAAAAATTAGCCAGGCATGGTGATGCACGCTTGTGGTTCCAGCTACTTGGAAGGCTAAGGCAGAAGGATTGCCTGAGACCAGCAGGTTGAGGCTGTGGTGGCTTTGAGTGTGCCACTGCACTCTAGTCTGGGCAACAAAGTGAGACTCCTACTCAAAAAAAAAGCAGCACTCACATGAAACAGGAAGGTAAACAGACTGAAGCCTTCATGGAGCTATTGTTGGAGGGTAAGGTGAGGAGAACAAGACTAATTGGTGGCAAACACCAAATACAAATTACAAAATGGCTGAGACATAAATCTGAAACTCCTTTGCTAGTTCTTTAATCCAAGCACTCAAAGCTTCAGTTTCCTTCATCACTTTTGGCTTTAATCTTCCATTTTTGCTTCTAGCATATAGGATGTATGTACTTAACAAATCCAAGTACAGAGAAAGCAGGATACTCCAGACAAGATTCATTTTACAAACTGGAAATTACAACACGGGGACTAGGGACCTGCACTTGGCAGGAGATAGGCTGTTACGAGGGTTCTAACGGGCTCCCCAGGGACACAGGCAGCACCGTCTTGCCATCACACTAGGCAATCTGGGAGAGACCAAACAGCACATAAAGCTTCGCCTCATCTTGGTACATTTCAGATCCTCAATAAATGCCACCTTTTCTCATTATATGGTCACTGAATATTTAATCTACTAATGGTTGATACTTATTGGCCATATCAGACTGTATCAATAACTCAGTCAGGTGGTTTATTTTATCTACTTTGAACATTATGAGTAGATACTATTTCCATTTTACAGATGAGGAAACCAAACTCAAAAGTTAAATAATTCTTCCAAGCTCGCTCAGCTGGTTAATATCAGAGCTAATTTATTCATGTTCTCGGTGGTAGTGGAGACAGTAATAAACAAGCACATGGATAAGAAAGAATCACTGCAGACGACTTAAAGTTTTTTAAAGTCTTGATAAGGATCTACATTTGTGTTAGTTTTAAAAACCAAATCTCTCTAGGATTAGGTAAATTTTTATCATGGACAAAAAAGACTGCCGATTGTATAATGAAGAAAACAAAGGGAAAAGGTAAACTTTTCTTAGACTCCATCTCCTCTCCCCCAAAAGGGTTACTGTTCATAACAAATCACCTAGAGAAAGGAGTACAGAGTAGCATCTCTGAAACTGCAGGTAATACAAAGCTCTTCCAGGAAAAAGAATGCTAAGACAATAAGCACAAAACAATCTAAATGGCAGTGGCAGACGGGTTCCAATTACAGGAAACACAGTCTGTTCTGCCATAACACAGTTGTTGCCTTCCCGAGGAACCCAGCCACTGCTCTACATTATTAAAAAAGAACTTATGAGGCTTGGCATGGTGGCTCACACCTATAATTCCAGCACTTTAGGAGGCTGAAGCAAGAGGACTGCCTAAGCCCAGGAGTTCAAGACTAGCCTGGGCAACATGGCGTCTTGTCGCCACAATAAAACAAAAAAATTAGCTGGGTGTGGCGGCATGCACCTGTAGTCCTAGCTACTTGGAAGGCTGAGGTGGAAGGATTGCCTGAGGCCAGCAGGTCAAGGCTGCAGCTGTGAGTGTGCCACTGCATTCCAGCCTGGGTGACAGAGTAAAACTCCAACTGGGGGAGGGGTGATTATGGCCAGGTGTGGTGGCTCACACCTGTAATCCCAACACTTTGGTAGGTTAAGGTGGGAGAACTGCTTAAGCCTGGGCATTTGAGACCAGCTTGGGCAACATAGTGAGATCTGGTCTCCATTAAAAAAAAAAAAGAAAAAAAGAACTTAGAGACCTCATCTCTACAATAAATAAAAAAATTAGCCAGGTGAGGTGGCGCATGCCTATAGTTCCAGCTACTTGGAAGGCTGAGGCGGAAAGATCACCGGAGCCCAGCAGGTCGAGGCTGCTGTGGCCGGGAGCGTGCTACTGCACTCCAGTCTGGGTGATGGAGTGAAACTCCACCTCAAAAAATAAAAATAAATAAAAATAAAAATAAAAAAAGGCAGTTTATGCATGACAGGATACAGTCAAAAAGGAAAAAGACCCAGCAGTTAAAATAATCGTCAGAATATTTTGTTATTGTAAAGCAGAGATTACAAAATGACCGAGACATAAATCTGAATGCTCCTTTCTAGTTCTTTAATCCAAGCACTCAAAACCTCAGTTTCCTTCATCACCTTTGGCTTTAATCTTTCATTTTTGCTTCTAGCATGGTTCACAACCACCAGCAGTAACACAAGAATGTGGTACTGTATTACACAAACAGCTGTATCTACCTCTAAACATGCAAGCCTAATTCCTGATCATAACTGATAGCAGTCAGTGCAACACAAACTAATTACATGACATTCAGTGAGCAATATGCAAACGCATGGTGTAGGAGAAATGCCTAGACGAGTTGCATTAAACTCTATAATAATGGCACTACTAACTATGTATAGAAACAACTGCCTCCAAGTTCTTCTAAAATTCAGAATGAGAACCTAAGGCTCACTGAGACAGCTCAGAAAAACATCACCTCCAGGTACTGCTATGAGCAGAGGACAAGAGAGTGTAGGGCATCATCAAAATGAAACTGGGCAACACCAGACTTGAGAAAGACAGAACGATACAAGTTTTCCCAAGAAAAGAAAAGGAAGCGAGAAGGCCTTCACCATTAAGCCAAAGGAAAATTTAGCTGGAAAAAACTACTTACAGGATCCAAGCCTTCTTTCTCTAGCTTGGCTTTCTCCAAGTAATAGCTCTTCTCGGCCACGCTGAGAAGCCTCCAGCTCTCACTGATCTTCTTGTTGATCTCAGACTGAGGGAGGTGTGGGAGCTCTTGCTGCACTTTCAAGTAGATGTCGTAATAGTACAGCAGGTACGCCGACCTGAGGAGGCAACGTTTTTTGAGGTTTCCCCTCACTCACCCAGGACATGCCAGAGTCAGGGTCTGAGCAGTGTAGAGGCTGGCTTAAAACTCAGCTTCTCATTTCCCAAGTACTAATCTAAACTGGGACTGCAAGCCAAGCAAAGCAACATGTAAATAACCTTCCTAGATGGTGCTGAGGACAAGGGCAAAATGAATGGTAAAGATGGCAAGTGGCTGTTTCTCTACAGAAACCTGGAAGCAAAGGCTCATCCAGCTCACCTTCCAAACAGTCACTTTTTCCTACAAGAATGACTTCAAACCCAATTGAGCAAAGGAAGATACAGGTGTCCGGCATTCCACTCAGAGAAAGCCTCTCAGGGGGGCTGATTATCCGTCACACTCTTTACCCTCTGTGTAGCCTTTGGTCATCTAATACTCAACAACACTTCCCCAAGGCTGAGAGAAGACAGCAAGTGAGTTCTCAAAAGGACCCAATGCTGGTACTTTAGCAAGGCTGGGGTGTTCACAGTCAAGGGAGACTGGAGCCACAATTCAGATATTCTGTACAGATATCCCAGGTACTATTTCTAAGTCTGTAATGTTATTTATGCCTTGTTTTAAATGTTTAAAGAACAATGACATAATAATAAATAACGGAGCTCTTTTGTATGTAGCTTCTACCATCTGTATGGTGCGATATCCTGGGACTATTTGGACATGTAAGCCAGAAGTCTGGCCAGAAATGGCAAGTGCTGGCATAAATCTAGTCACTTCCCAATCCTATCGCCTTCCCCCACCTCACTCTGACACTTAACAACTCCTCTCTTTCTCAAAGAATCTTAAAGTCCTCCTCAACACAGCTTTCCAAGCAGCTTCCTTCTAAATGTCAGAGGCAGTCGAAACATGTTGGCTAACCTGGGTTTCTTGGCCTTTTCTCCATTTATTTTATACTTTTTCTTCTTCTTGGGTGGCCCAGGGGAGGCAAAACAGTAGGCTTCCTCAATTTCCTCCATCACAACGGTTACCTCAGTACCATCATATGATGCGTCCATGGCTAGAGGAGAGGAAAGTCAAACACAAAGTTTTAAGAATCTACCACAAAGGGTAGCAGCCTCCTGACCAAATCATCTCTCACCTCTGACAGTGCCTTATGGCTCAGTCATTTCCCAAACTCAGAAGCACGTGGGGCGCTTGTTAACATACAGACCCCAGAACTCCACGTAAGAGATTATGGAAATCTGCAGGCTTAACAAACACTACAGGTGATTCCTTTGACCAGGCAAACTGGTTACCACCGACTTGGGCAGACTTTTCACTTATATTCACTCATGGGTTTACTGTAAACCTTCAACTCCAAGATTTATCAGCCCCATGCCACAAGCATTCTATCTGGAACCAGGTCGCAAGAACACCTGACCAGGCGTCAGACATCCTGGTCCCTTGCTCAGATGTTTCCCTGCCTTAAGTAAATGGCTGCACTGATTCACTCAAACAAGCGGTAAGCACCTATATGATAGAGGTTTCTTTGTGTTCTGCCAGTTTGTGACTCGGGATAGGTCCCTGAGCTGCTTTAGGTTCAGTTCTCTCCGTCTCATGTGTAACAAAAACGAGATGTCTCACCTGTCTTCTCACAGAGCTAGTTACAGAACTCAAAGGACGTAACAGACACAACTCTACTTGAGAATACTCAAGTACTATACAAATGAAAGGGTTCATTTCTAATGTCAGATAATTGGCAGAGAAAAAAACACATGGAAGGGTTTGTTTTTTATTAAAGATAATTACCTGTGGCTGGCATGCTTAACAACCTGCTGTAGGCCACGGGGCCCAAATAGAAGCTTGAGGTAGGTTTTTAACTCAAAGCCCCAACCTCTGGGGCTTCTTTCCGCATACTCCATTGCTGCCCATCTCTACTGGCAACTCTCTAAACCAGTACTACTCATTAAACTGTGATGACAGAGATGCTTTACATCTGTGCTGTCCAACACAGCAGCCACCAGTCAAATATGGCTATCAAGCACGTGAGATATGGCCAGTATGACTGACTGAGGAACTGAATTAGTTTTTATTGTAATTAACTTAAATGGCCACATAATGCTAGTGATTACACACAGCACAGGTTTAAACGGTAAACATCAGCTCAACATCAGTTGACAGATCAACATCAGCTCTCTGGTGCTGGTCAAAAACAGAATCTACTCACAGCCTTAGGAAAAGGAAGACATAAGAAACATAATGACTAGTTCAGGAAGCATTAGCTTACTTGTGGCCAAGATCTAAGTTAGGGTTTTACTACAAGTCTCAATTCTTGGTGACAGAAAAGTTCCCAGAACCACTGGAATTTTATGAGGGGGAATTAACATAGCTGCTCCTGAAAATCTGTCAGAAGGAAATTTAGGAATCTGGGAAGAGGAGCAGTAAACACTGGACTGATAGGTGTTATTAAAAGCCCACTCACATCTCGTTTAGACCTCACTCCACAGATGAAAAGGCATAATGAGAAAAACAGCACTACATGGGAAGTCGTAAGACCAGAATCCACGTATAAACTCTAACCATGTGATCTCAGAAAAGCCTACTGCACATTCTAAATTTCAGCAGTTTCTACTGTGAGTTGAAGACGATTAAATTAGTGGCTATCAACCTTATGGGAGGCAAGAATTCTTTTGACAATGTCGTGAAAGCTAAAAACCCTGTCCTAGAAAATGCAGGCACAATATCTCACCTATAATTTTAACAATACACCCCAGGTTAAGCATGCATTATATTCCTAAGGCTCTTCCTAGTTCTGTGTCACCTCTAAATGATTCCTCTTTCCAGTTAATAAAAAAAAAAGCACTAACAAGAAAAAACCAAATCAAGAACCTCCACTTTAACTGCCATAGTGCAGCCCAGGAAGAACACAGTCCACAAAAGTAGGCCAGTAAAGGATAAGGGAAGCTGGAGTTCCAATTAAGACTAGTGGGGTCTGAGCTTTTTTGCTCTTCATTGACTTCTCGGCCCTTGGAAATCCTTCTGGAAAGGGCTACAGAACATCTGTAAAGAATGGCATATAGGGTTTTAGCAACCAGATCAAAACAAGTTAGGAAACAAAGTCATTATAACCACCTTGGGGTGGCAGCAGGAAAGACCACTGGGGTTTTGTTTGTTTTACTTCCCCCGCTCTAAGCCTGGGTCCCAATTGGTTTTCAGATCCTAGGCCTCAGTACGCAATGCAAAGAAAGGGAGGACAATAGTTAAAAACAAGGACACTGGAGGACGAAAAGTCTGGGTTCTCAATTAGGCTACACTGTGTAACAAACAGCTACGGTGCAAAGCCTTATGACCTTAAGCAATTCACTTACCCTCTCTAGGCCTCAGTGTTCTCACCTGCAAAACAGAACTAAAGGCAGTACTTGAAATATGTGACACACTTTCACTGTCCCATCAGATCCTCTGAATCTCATGAGATGGCCTTTGCCAGCTCAGTTAGGGGCCACGGTTGAACTCTGAGCTAGCTCCTGTCCCTCTCTGGATCTCGGATGCCCCATAAAGACTGAGGAAGGAAGACGCTAAGACTCACTCTCAATTTGTGGAAGAGGTATAACAGAGGCTAAGAGAGCCGCAGCACCCAGCTACAAGTGGCCCAGGGAGCCCCGGCATCTCCAGGTGGCCCAGGGAGCCGCAGCATCCGGCTCGAGGTGTCCCAGGGAGCCCCAACACCCGGCACGGGGAGACCCAGCAACCGGCTCGGAGGGGCCCAGGGAGCTCCAGCACCCCGCTCGCGATGGCCTCAGGGAGCCCTAACACTGGCTTGAGGTGGCCGAGGAAGCCGCAGCACCCGGCTGGAGTGGGAGGCGGGACTCACCGGGAGGGGCATGCAGCTCACATTCCCGGGGGTGCCCGGCCCAGGGGCTCGGCGGGGAGGCTGGCTGGCGCGCGGCCCGCGGCCGGCGAGAGGTGGCTGCAGTCGTGACGGCGGCGGCAGGGAGGTGGAGGCGAAGGCCCGCGCGCGCATCCCGGGGCTGGAGGCGCCCCGGCCCCGCGGCCCCACCGGCGACACTGGGCGCTGACTTGCGAGCTAGGGTAGAGAAGAGAAAGCGCAGGAGCTAGAGTTCGCTCCGCAGGCTCCTCACCGACGGCTGCCGAGGGCCCCAGGGGTCCAGCCCCGGGGGGCTCGAGGACGACAGCAGGGACACGGGCCTCCCCGCGGCAGCAGCACACCAGGGAGATCGCCAGGGAGACCCGTCCCGGCGGCCCTCGCGGCGCACCGGAAGTGGCCGGCGGCGCACCGGAAGTGGCCGGCGGCGCGTGACTGCGCGAGCCCCTCCCGCCGGCTCAACAGCTCAGCCCAGCCGGGGACCGGCCCATAGGAACTGGGTAAAGTCGTTGGGGGGGCGGTGAGGGCTGCTACGGCGAACGGACCACTTCCGGCCAGAGGGTTCCGGCCGGGAAGGAAGTTGTGGTTGCCCCGGCGCTGCTGTAGAGCGCTCAGGTAACAGGTGCGAGGCTGTATCGAGCGTGTGGGGTCGGGACAATGCCAGGCCTCTCAGAGCCACGTCGGACGCCAGGGAACCCACAGCACCACCCTCTCCTTGGCAAGGTGTTCTAGGCTTGACCTCAACCCGCATTCGGCCTGGGGCACGTGCTTAGCGCCGCGTCCAACCCCCTCCTCATTCAGTGATCTGCCCGGGTCCGTCTCTCCACCGGCCCACGGATCATGATAGCGGGTTCTTGGAGTGACTCAGCTGAGCTGATGAACCTGGAGAGGCTCCGGAAACCACATCGGGATCGGATTGTCCTTTCCCGCCGGTGTCACAGACTATGCCACATTTGCACAAATTCCCGCACGACCCTCACTGTCTTGTAAACGTGTTTCCAGTCTGCCTCCTCTCCATCTACCACTGTACCAGCCCCCAGCCGCCGTCACTGCCTGCCTGGGCCGCTGCAATCCTTCTCGCCTCCACTCTTGCCCCTGTGCAGTGTCCACAGAGCAGCCAGGCTGACCTTTTTGCACTGTAAGTTTGATCTGGTCACTCTGCTTAAAACTCTCCATTGTCTCGTTCACAAAGAGTAAAATTCAAACTTTTTGGTTTGACCAAGACTTTGGTTTGGCTCTTGCTCCATTCTCTTTCCATGTCTCATCTCAACGCTGGTGGTTCTAGAACAAGAACCCTTGGGTTTGAATCCCAACCCTGCCACAAGTAAGCTGTACTAAGCTTAACACATTAGGTTTACACAGTGGTTCCTCCTATCCCAGTCAATGGCACCTCTGTCCACTGGATTGCTCAGGATTCAAACCAGAAACCTGAGAGTTGGCCTAGACTCCTTCTTCACCTCTTGGCCAGTCCTTCAGCAAAGCCTGTCAAAACAGAGCACCAGGCTGTCTTACTGTCTCCCTTGTTACTACTTGAATCCAAGTCACCATTAGTTCTTGTCTGAACTCCTGCTTTTTCTCTGATACTCTTCCGTTCTCGACATGGCATTAATCTTTTCCTCCTTGCTTACAATCCCTCAGTAGCTTCCTTTTGCACTCAAATTAACATCCAAGCTGTACGTGGCCTACTAGGCTAGCTGGCTTTTTTCTTCAGGTTTTTCTTCAGCCGCTTAAGAAAATGGGCTTCACGCATCAGGTTCTCCACCCCGCAACCAAAGGCTCTTAGAAGGTGCAAATCTGATCATGTCACTTCGAAAAGACAAAAGCGAAAAGCCTCCAAAGGCCTCTTAATGCCCCAGGTTCCAGATAGAATCCTAACTAAGACTTTCTGTGATTTGGTCCTTGCTTTCTTCTCCAAAGACTTACTTCTTCCTGACCATGACATATTATTTCTATAGTACTTCATTGCCTTTCAGAGTACATATTTTGACATCTCATGAGTTACTACTGCTTTTTTCTTTTTTTTTGAGTTGGAGTCTCACTCTGTCATCCAGGCTGTAGTGCAGTGATGGCTCCTGCAGCTTCGACCTACTGGGCTCAGGCAGTCCTTTCACCTCAGCCTTCCATGTAGTTGGAACTACAGGTGCTCACCTCTATGCCCCACTAATTTTTTGATTTATTATGACAGGGTCTCACCATGTTTCCCAGGCTGGTCTTGAACCCCTGGACTCAGGCAGTCCTCTCACCTCTGCCTCCCAGAGTTCTGTGGTTTATTCTTGAAGGCACAGCATAAGTAGTTTCCTCTTTGAAGTACACTGCCATCCATGCCCCACTGCAGTTGATGATCCGCGCTTTTGTGTTTCCACAGCCTCTGCAACCTCTGTTGTAGTATTTCACACACTAGTGTTGTCTTCCCTGCTCCTGGGAAGCTCCTCAGTGGTGGGCACCATGCTCTTTTCATCTCTGTATAGCTGGCACCAAGCAAAGTACTTGACACGTAGAGAATGGTGTGAATAGATGAATTCAATGTGTTGAGGTGGTGGTAAAAATTTGCCCCTGACAAGAGACAGTCACAGCATAAGTTCACGTAGCTTTTCTTGTTCTTTGAGGACTCTTGTGATAAAATGCCTAAACCGACAATTACCAAAACTGCTACTGCTGGATCATGCTTTGTTTCACCAGACTAGGGGGGAGGGGTGTTTGTTTTAATTCTCTTTTTTTTTTTTAAGCAGGATTTATTGAGAGGACAGAAAAACTCCCACAGTGGGAGGGGACCCGAAGGGGTTGCCCTGTTTTAAATTCTTAATACCTCTAGACAGGGTTCACAGACCACAACACTCTCCAAATAGCTCATCCCTGTTTCACTCACTTATGCCACCACCCTGGACCATAAGGCCATTTGAGTTTGGAGCATCTATCTAGGGTCCAATACTTCAATCTGGAAGGGACCTCAGGGATCATCTGGGCCTGTGGTTTGCAGCCATGGGACATACCAGAATCATTCTGAGAGCTTTTCCAAAATGTCTGTTTCCTCATTGAGATTCGTGTTCAGTAAGTCCTAGGTCAGGCCTGGATACCAGATTCTGAAATTCCCTCCCAGTTGAGTCCAGCTTCTTCATTTGAAGATGGGAAAACAGACCCAGAGAGGGAGTGTACTATAACCTGCCCATTACTTGTGCCATCCTCTCTCACCCAAATTATCAGCAACAGGATCCTAATGTCCTAATTGGTCTCTTTGTCTCTTGGATCCATTTTTTCACAAAACAACCAGAGTGATCCTTATAAAATGCAAACCAGATCATGACCCTCCCTTGCCTGAAAACCTTCAGCACATTTCTGTTGCACTCAATAAAATTCTAACTCTTGACCACAGCATCTTTTGAATAGTCTGGCACTCCACCCCACCTTTGTCACGTACTTGGAGTCATGCAAATGTTCCAGTTCCCTGAATACATCGTCTCTTTTCTGCTCTTGAGATTTTGCTGATGTTGTGTCTTCTGCTGGACTACCCCTTCCCCTCCCCTTCATGGAGATCTCAGTTTCAGTGCCATCTTCTTAGTGAGGCCACCCTGACTACCTTGTGCAAATGGACCTTTCCCCTTTATTCCCAATCATAGTCTTTATTTCCTTTTAGCACATATCATCTTATTTATCTGTTTACTTATTGTTTATCTGCCCTACCACATTTCCTATTTCATAAGAGTAGGGACCTTGACTCTGCTGTGTAAATAGTGATTAAGTGAATGCATGCCTACAAGAACATTTTCCTACAGTGAAAATCTTTCCAAGCCAGATGGTGATAGAGCTTTGAAGATATCATTTTGGTAGAATTTCAAACAGGACCCTGGACTGGCAGAAATAGCAGTAATCTAAGTCAAGAAATCAGCTGCATGAACCTGGGTAGGCCCCTCCCCCACGCCTCAGTTTCTGTATCCATCAAACAAGTCAGATAATAACTCTGAATTTGTACAGTGCAATGCTATTTGCAAAGCTCTTTCACCACCTATTACTTCAATCTATTCTCATAATACAGCAGCCACTGTTATTCCCATTTTTACAGAGACTTGGAAAGTTTAAGTAAACTGGATTATCTCTAAGATCCCATCTGTTTCAAACATTCCATGACCTTTATAAGTAGTCTCTACAACATGTCAGTGGCACACATCCTATCTTCTCTCGCCTTTGACCTTATAACTTCCTAGGAGGATTTTTAAATATCTGAACCCATTTTTAGGAGGAATCCATTGTCTTTGGTTCTTGAAGCTACTCCATTTTGTCTTCTCAGTTTTCCACTTGTGGCTAAACAAGTCATGAGGGGCCCTCACTCCCTGAAAATGGCAAGCAAGGGCCACAAGAAACAGCGGCAGTTCTCACTGGAGAAGAAGATAAAGGTAGTGGAAGCCATAGACTCAGGCAAGAGGAAAGGCGATGTGGCAAAAGAGTTCAGCATCACTCTTTCTATGCCATCTACATGCTTTTCTGTCCTCTCAATAAATCCTACTTTAAAAAAAAAGAATTTAAAACAAACAAATTTGAAGAAAAGGTGCAGGAGGCATCTGTGGGACCCCAATGGAAAAGATGAGGAACGTGCTCTGCGATGACATCGGTAAGGCTGTTTTTGCTTGGTTTCAAGAAATCCATGCCAAAAACATTCTCGTGACTGGTTCTGTCATTCGCAAAAAAGCACTAAACTTGGCCAACATGCTTGGCTATGACAGTTCTCAAGCAAGTGTGGGCTGGCTGAACAGATTTAGAGATGGCCATGGAATTGCTCTGAGGGCAGCCTGCAGAGAGGACGGTGACAGGTTAATGAACAGTCTAGGAATAGATAAGGTTAACGAGTGGCATGCAGGGGAAATTATAAAGCTGATTGCTGACTACAGCCCAGATGATATCTTTAATGCTGATGAGATAGGAGTGTTTTTCTAGTTGCTTCCCCAGCACATACTTGCTGCTAAAGGGGACCATTGTAGGGGGGCCAGAAAGCAAAGCAGCGCTTGACAGCACTCTTGTTGCAATGCTTCGGGGACTGAGAAAATGAGACCATTGATTGTCGGTGGCTCGGCCAGCCCCCACTGCCTTC